CGCAGCAAACCATAACATGCCTGAAAAGTGTCCAACCGTCACTCATGTGATAAGGCCCACATGGCGCCATTGACATTTCCTTCACAGAGTTCATGTGAATTACATAAAGTGTGTTTTTATTCTGCATTGTCTGTGCCAAGGCTTTGTCGTGCGTTGCCGACGTGTTCCCAGACAGGGTCATCCCTCATCTCTGCCAGGAGTTTGTGGCTTGTCAGCAGGAAGATGGAATAAAGAAGAGGCCCAGGAGGACAGTAGAAACTAGGGTGAAGCTCGGCGAGACATTGGTGAGAGCCACAAGGAGACTTGGTGAGTCATTTTTGAAATTCTGTCTTGAGACAGTTACCAAAGATGGGTAGCGTCAGCCCAAACTATCTCCTACATTAATTTAGTATCAGCACCATTTTTATTACAGCAGCTGAACAAAGTGCCAACTTTGTTTCTCCTTCAGACAAAAATTTAATGTGAGGTTCAGTGTTAGACTTGACTCTCCTTTGAGGTGAGTTGAAGGGGATTAATAGGTATTGGTAAATGTGCGTCTTCTTTAATTTGTTGTTGAATTATGATTTAAATGGTCATTTTACAATTTGCTAGCAGAGCCCCACCTGTCAGAATTTTGCCTTGTGGCAAATTCTGCTAAAGTGAAATATATATACTGTGTGTAGCCTATAAATAGCATTTTCATCATGTGAAGTTGATGTATTTGTCCTGATTGGTCAATAGGTGAACTGGTTCCCCGCTATGGCAAAGTTCTTCTGGGTGCATTTCTACATGGTGCACAGGACACCGATGCTGTTATGAGAGCCAGCAGCTTGTCCAATCTGGCCGATGTTTGCAGACTTCTTAAGTTCGCCTTGGGTCCAAATCTTCATGAGGTAAGCAATACAAAACTCTCAAATTTAGCCTCCAGGGTTCAAGTTAAAGGAATGCACTCTCGATGGAAAAGGGACCTTGGCCACCTGCAGGTGATGCTTATATTTTTGGTGTAACAGGATCAGGTAGGCACACAGCAATCAATCGACTTGTTTACAGGTCTTAAACAGTCTGAAACAAGAGTGGAGTGATACAAGGTTATGAGCTGAAGGGAGTCATGAAGTCAGGTTGGCAGAGTTGACACTTTCCCAACTTTACGTCTCGGTGGCCTGGGTTCATATTCCTCCCAGTCTGACCTTTGAATTGGGTTTTAAAATTCATGGATTGTATGCAGAACATCTGTCTTGGGTATTCCACCTGTCTTGGGTATTCCACCTGTCTTGGGTATTGCACCTGTCTTGGGTATTCCACCTGTCTTGGGTATTCCACCTGCCTCTACAACCTTCATTGTCTTCTTCAGTGCCATTTGTAATCCTGCTGTAATTTGAACTGATAACACGATTGGATGAACACTAAGGAAAGAAAGTTTTGTAAAGGTCTGTATTGTTTCCGTAATTTTGTTCAGGTTTTGAATTGCTTGATGAAAATTCTGAGAAGCGACCCTGAGGTACAGGCCAGACGGGCATGCATCCTTGTCCTCACCCTCATTCTCAGGGGTCTTGGGAAAGATGCAGTCAAGGTAAGGGAGCCTGTCCATGGCATGCTCAATTCTTGATGGTTTTTTTTTTTTATGTAGAACTACTATGTGATAGAGCTTTGTAGCTAGCAAGACCTTCCATCAATGAGCCAGTTTAGTATTTCATAACAAGGTTACTTGAAAACACAGCATCTTTATGTTTAAACCAAGTCACACATGTGCATTGCATGAGAGTCACCATACGACTGTGCAGAAAGGGCCATCCTCATGAACTGTGACGTTCCTGAATGACCTATTACACACTTCATTGCAAGCATGCACATTTAAAATACTTGACTGGCTTATTGTATTGCATTATTTTGGTTTTTCCAGCGTGACTTTCATTTTCAGTAAGTCACAGGTGGCTTGTACCTAAGGTACTTGTCTCTCCCCACTGTGACCAAGGTTAGATTCCCGGCCTGGGCTACTTGTGGGTAGGGTTTTCCCCAGGTTTGCCAACATTCCTTCCTCCATCAAAATCAACACTTCTGCACTGAGATGCTGCATAAACATGATGAGAATCTTCATAGAAATTACAAAAGTCACACCCTAGGTTTCTTTTCCAGAAAACTTCATCTTTATAACCACTGGCTGTTACTCTTCAACCCAGGCTCTTGAGGACGTCATGAGGGACATTTACCGCAGCTTGAAGCTGACATTGAGCGTAGAGAAAGATGACGTCATCCGTCTGCACTGTCAGCTAGCCCTGGAGGAGATTGATGTCATTATGAGGGAATACCTCTTCCCAAAACAAACGCTCGTTAAGAAGATCACTGTACTGCCTTGATGATGCAACACTGACAAAAGACACAGATCTCAACTGTTCCAATCAGTATCCAAAAATTTACAGCATTTGTCTGAAAACCAACCCCTCCGGTAAAATAATTGCAAAATTTCTTTTTTTTTAATCTGGAACAAATGGCACATTACCACTGATAGAGTGTTTTATTTATATAGGGATCAATAAATTTACTCCACCCTTTTTTATTCATATTTAGGCTCATCTTGAAATTTATGGACATGCATAACACTTGGAACATAAGACACTGAAACTGGTTGTTTCTTTTGTTTGCCGATTCATTGGGGTAGCTGGATACTGCATGACACTGGAGGGCGCTGTTCATGGTACAGATGTTTTATGTATAGACCGATTTGGTGACCATAATCAAGAGCCGTTACTGCGATGTCCCCACGCAAGTGAACAAAGGAGATGCACATTGAATGCTTTCTCATCAGCCAATGGGAGTGCACTGCTAAGCAAAATGGCACACTCATTTCTCTATTTATCTCACATAAATAATTTTACTTCGCTGTTCACTCTTTTTATAACAATTCGTACAGAAACAAAATACGAATCAGTAAATTAGCAAATAAACATTGATCAATCATTATTTTTATAGAGATCTCTACCTGTTAACCAAGCGTTTCCTTTCATGGAATATTTTGCATAAACTAGTCACAAAGAAAAAAACTTAGAAGATTTCATGTCTAGCAAATAACATTGCACGAATCTCACAAATGCTTGCCGATTCACAAAATTGAATGCCAAAACACATACCGCGGGAATGTCAGTGCAAATTTGAATTTTTTTTTCGTGTTTTCCCAAATTGATAGCTGACTTCACTTTTTGAATAACAAGATTGTGCAATTGTATGCTCTTAAAATGAAATTGAATGATCAATTTTGCTCTTTGCATGGTGATCTAGATTGTCAAATCTAGTTTGTGCTAACTGGACTGAAACTGTCGCTAATTCGTGTGCAAAGATGATGAATTCGGCCGGGACAACCTATATATGATAAATAAATTTATTGATTTCTTTATTAAGCCCCCCCCCCAAGTGCTTGATACGCCACTGCTGCTGACAGATCCTGGACTTGTCACTCAAAGCAAGAGATAATTAGTGATAGAATGAATATCTGGAAATCTAACCTCTTTAGAAAATACACTCCTCAAAAAAAGTTCAGGACCACTTTTTATTTTGTGTATACTTTTTACATATGAGATATTTTCCTGCTGAAAATTTGAATTTGATTTTTGAAACATTTAAAAAAATTTTTATACCAATGAGAACACCATCTAGACAAACAAAAAATATAAAAAATTTTTTGAGTAGTAGATATGTGCCTATTTTGTGTGTTCATTTGACGTACATTAAAATTTTCCTCACCTGGAAAGAATCCAAGTTTTTCCCAGTGAATTATCTCATTTTATTTCCTTGCATTTGTTTTCAAATGCCCAAATTAACAACTGGTTTCTGCATACAAAAGCTCGATTGTCGAAACCAAAACTTTGTTGCCCTACCCCAACACACTGTTTCCAAAAAATGTGCTTAAACTTGACAGGATTTAAACAGACACTGAGAAGAAAGTTGTTTTTATCCTTTCACTTCCGAACACCTGCTGAAGACTAAAGTTAAACTCGCATCCCTTCTGTTCTTAGTAAGAGAAATGTTGAGAATGCACACGCTCACGAAACAGTCGTGTATTAAGGTAGTGTGTTTTTGTGCGCATCAAACAGCCGTTTTGTTTTGGTGTTGCGTAAACAGTGCCGAGCTCCGTGCACATGCTGCAGTGCGCCGTAGCCCACACAGACGTACATCTAAGTCAGTAGACCTCTAATTTTAGAAGATCCATCATGTTCGGCTTATTAGGTAAGCATATCTTAATTTCTTAAAGTCGATTTTTCGAAATCTAAAGCATGGATCAGGGAGGAAAAAGAAGAAAGGAAACTTTTACTGGGGTCGAGCGCTCGGTAATGCAAACTCCTCCATATGGGCACATTAAAATAGGCTAGCTGCATCAATTTCATGAAAATTTCACCCCGTTTTTAAGGCATGTCTGGAAAGAGTTCCATGCCCAGACACCACTTGACACCTGTCCCTGTGCACAAACCCAGGGCTGTGAGATTGAGATTGGTCTGAAAACTTCAAAACGTTTTCTAAATAAATTAATCATGTTAATAGATCAGCATTTTCAGTGCTAAATTTGACTTCAACTCTAATATTCAGGGATGTTTTTCACTTTTGGTCAGATGGCTGATAAGATATAGGCTGCTCCAAAGTTCAACTTAAATTGGTGTTCCGAGTATGGAACTTTTTTACTGGTCAAGGAATTTCTAAAGAGAAAAATAAGTGATATCAATGTTTGGAAATCTTTGCCCGTATCCTGTTCTTAAACCATTCTTAAAATGTCTAACCAGCATGCTCCTGGTCGGCACAAATTTCTGACCTTGAGAATGTAGGCTTAAAGATAATTCTGTTGTAAATAAGCACACCCATGCGAAATCTGCAGACCTGTGACTTGAAATCAGCAGCTACAGAAATTTGACAGTAAAAGCAGTTATGATACCAGTTGGCTTAGTCCGAGTGACTTACTTGGACTCCACAAATTGCCTTTTTTAACATTTGGACATGGTTGGGTAGGTCGCCTGACCATGTCCAAATGTTAAAAAAGGTGATTTGTAGAGTCTGTTGGCTTACCAATTTATTTAAGGAAATTTATAGACCTTCAAACACGGTACGTGTATGTATCACCATGTGTGAGTGAGCCACACCATCAGAAAACCCCATTCTGCTAATGCTATAGATGGAACTTTGTACATGATTGAGTTATCTTTTTTGCAGATTTTGCATATTTTTTAATCCATTTTTGTATAGGCCTGCTATGTAATTGTACAATATTTAAAAAGATGCACTGATGCAGTGTGGGTATTTCACAATAATTTAGTGTGTCTCCAAGAGTTTGCAATGCGTTGGTCAATCACAGTGCACGACATTTGTCAACCTAATGCGTGCTTAATTGGAAACGGTCGACAGTTCCTGCGCATTGTGATTGGCCAATGCATTGCAAACTCTTGGAGGTGCACTATTGTGAATGACCCGTATTCTACGGTAACGTCAATAATGAAGATCCATACCATAATTATTTCCTGCAACTTAGGAGGAGGCAGTGGCTTTATTGGAACAGCCATCAGGAGGTTACTTCTCCAGAGGGGGCATGGAGTAATGCTTGTTTCAAGGACAGCAGGAAAGGATAAGATCACTTGGGTTGGTTTTGGTTTGTCTTCACTGTCTTTACAGGGTTCTTAGAATGATTAATCTGGTTTAGTTTCACAAAATTTTGTCAAGGAAAAACATTATGTTATCGGTTGCTTGCTGCCCTGAAAAGAGGCATTTTTTCAGATGTTGCTGGAGTACATTTTTTTCACGAGCTGAGCCCTATTGAGTTTTGTCAGTATCCCTTTGTGGTCACTTTGACAAATTTTCTGCAAATTGAACGTACTGTTTTTGGAACGACATCCATTTTTCAAGAGACGTCTGCCAGACATGTATACCTTTCCGCTGCTGTGATCGGTGCAAGTAGGCTGGCTCTGGCCCTGAACTTCAGTTGATTGTATTTGAGTTGAAACATTCATATTATTCCTATTAAGGAACGTCTTTACTCTCATGTCGCTTTCCAAGTTATCAACAAATTGGGCATTGAAAAGCTGAGTTCTGGGGAGGGTTATCAAATCCATCACCACTGGTCACAAGAATACCCCCCCCTCCCGTACTCCGAGTCCCCTCACTCGCTGTGAGATGGTCTAAAAAACCAATGTCCAATGTCCTGTAAGGAGATGGGGACTAGAGAAGGGTTGGTTCATCATTTGTCTGTGATTCTGTATATGTATGTGATTAGGCATTTATTTCTGTTCAGACGCCGATGTAGTGAAAGACAGGCCTGATGAAACGCTTTATTTTTGGAAAGTAATATTTTTCACTATAATGACGTGTAGGTCACTTGATACCAAAGTACCTGTCATAATTGCATCCCAGTTCCAGTGGGTTTATCTGCTTAAGGAAACAGTTGGAAGAGAAATGGATTTTCACTGATGATGCTAGGGTAATCACCTATTTCATCTGGGTCTGTGACCGTTGCTCTAACTTGTCAACTGATTCAAAGGTACCATTACCAAAGAACATTAAAAATGTAGATTTTACACAAAATTTTCAAGACATAAAATGATCTTGGATTTATCAGTGGTAGAGAGTATAAGTTTTGTATCATTCAATCAAATTTCTTGCACCCAGGACCAGTTACGTGAAGACGGGTTACCAGAATGTGATGCAGTCGTCAGTTTATCTGGAGAAAATATCCTCAACCCTCTGAAAAGGTAAGTGTGGGAGGGTTTTTCTGACAACCTTTACATATAAAATACATGAGGTATGTTCTGCTAAAAAAGGATGACAGAACTGCCTAACTCTAATGCAGATGCCTGTTGACATTTTTTTGGTTGTGTTTTCCAAGGTGGACAGAATCATTCAAGCAAGAGGTGACTGACAGCCGTGTGAAGACTACAGCAGCACTTGCCAAGGCAATCACAGAAGCTAGTAAACCACCCAAGGTCTTTGTATCAACTTCAGGTGTTGGTGAGTATGGATGAGGATGTAACATGCAATGTTCATTCTTTTTTGTCTTTGGTAAAATGGTGTGCCATGCCCATTGGTACCTCACTTCATTCGTTAGATGCTCTATCTTGATTGGCCGAAGCATGTCACATGGTATTTGCCCCTTTTGTTGTTCCACCAGCTAGTTCCAATCTGGACTTTCAGTGTAGTTAGACTCGCAAACACACATCGAGCAGCTTTTGTGCTTGGTTGTAATCAAGTCACAATTACAGATCCTCAAAGTCCGTCACAAGCCAGCCAGTCTTAGGTCAAATCACAAGTTATTCTGTTGGACATTGCATTAAATTCTTCTGTCGTAATTCATCTACTCAAGTAACTGACTAAACTACAGCCACACGTGATGACACTCACAGGAAATTTACATGATATAAAACTCTTCATGGGGGCACCGTGGATGTTTGTTGACCATTTCGAAGAGGGGTGTGTGTAAAAGAATGACCTACCATGCTTTTGAGAAACATACCCACTGTTACCCAGCCGAATGGGGTTGGGGTCAGAGAGCTGTTTAATTTCATTATATTGCCAGCTACATTGATGCATGTTATGGGCTTGGCCATGTTTGTTTCACAAAGACCTGGATCAGTTGGTCGAAGGACACCAAAACTTGGCTAATGGATGATGCGAACTAAACAGGCCCCTTCAATACTTTGTCTCATGTTCCAGTTTTATGCCTCTCGGATCATTTCTCTGTCCCAATTGGCATACACATAAAGTGTTTAAGCCACACCATTACATCAAGATCCTACTCAAAGACCATTCATGGGATCAGTATTCAACAAGCACCAGGGTCAGCAGTGACTCAGGAATACCTCTGTTACAGTTCGTTCAAACACCTTGTGACTTTGAATTCAGATGGGAGATCTTGTTTGTTTGGCCAGGGTTCCAGTGATGATGTGGTCTCAAGTACAGCACTGTACCACTTCCATTTCTCCTTTCCACCTGATTCTGTTCCTCCTTTCTTGTAGGCTACTACCCACCCAGCTTGACAGCGGAGTACACAGAGGACAGTCCTGGTGGGGATGCTGATTTCCTGTCTAGACTCTGCACAGTGTGGGAGAACAGTGCTAAGCTACCGGACAGCCATAGCCACGTCAAGCAGGTGATCGTACGAACAGGTGATTGGAGTGTATTATCACACTGCAGTGGCTCATGATGAGAAATCTTAGATTATAGATGCTGAAGGATGACCTTAATTTGATCTCAGAGAATACTTTTATTCAAAGTCATCAATGTATTTGTATACCTGCCTAAAACACATTGATATTGCATGTTGTGCTTAACCCCTTCGCGGTGGGAAGCGGCTATAGCTGCCGTAAAAATTGAGATCCTCAGCCCGCTTTTCAGCTATTATTCTCGGCCCACGCTCGAGCGAACACGGTGAAACAAGGTATACCCTGGCTCTTGTGTATATCGTAATTGGTCTTTGTGCGTAGCCCAGAAATGAAAAGACCCATTTTGCATCATAATCACGAGCTTCACAACAGTCCCCACTTTGAAAAGAGGCAATGGGAATGTGGAAGGGTGAGTAGAGCCGCATGCCACCGAACAATGAGCCTTTTCACTGTGTAATTCAAAGCGTGCAGAGTACGCAGAGCCACAAACCGAGAATTTGCGGTTTGGCAGGTGGCCTTCGTGGCCAAGCGAGGCTGGAATTCTAGGAGTCAGCTCTCAAAGAAATTCCCGTCGTCAAGGGGTTAACATATATGAAACCAAATATCAAATCTTGCTCACCAAAAAAATGTCTGTTAAGCATAAGGTCATTGTCCCTGGTAAAAATGCAGAATTTCATTGATGGCAAGAGAGTTCTCTATCTCAAAAGGAATAAATATGTTGTCTTCAACGTTCTGATGTTATTTTCTCATTTTGCCCAGGTGTTGTTCTTGGTCGCGATGGAGGTGCCATTCAGCAAATGATCTGGCCCTTCTGGCTTGGAGTCGGTGGCGTCATGGGGTCTGGTAGCCAGTACTTTGCCTGGATTCACATCGACGACATAGCTGGCATCTTTGTCCATGCCATCGAGAGCCCTGATCCCCCGTCGATCCTGAACGGAGTGGCCCCAACACCCATCACCAACCGAGAATTCACCAAGGCGTTTGGGTCGGTGCTGTGCCGGCCAACCATCTTGCCTGTGCCCAGTTTTGCCATCAACTTGGCTTTTGGAACGGAGAGGGCTGCGATGCTTCTGGATGGGCAGAAAGTGCTTCCAAAACAAACTCTGGAATGTGGGTATGAATTTCAGTTCCCCACTATTGAAAAAGCCCTGAAAAATATCACAAGCTGAATAGCTGATATGTTGAGAGAACCAAAATAAAAACCCACACACACACAAAAGTGCTCTTTCTTTAATTGCTGGGCTTCTTGCAATATTGCAGCTTCGACTTACAGTGATCACTTATTACTGTGGCTTGATCTTCTGAAGCTTGATTTCAATTTCAGATTGCTAATGGAGAAGTACTGTTTGCTCTAAATGTAGTGTTGAAGCAACAGTTCAGAGTTCAAATTGGTCACAAGTCCTCTGGCTTGGCTAAGTCTGTCTTCGGAATCGCCCTAGCTTGTTTTAACAAGCAGGATGCTTGAGCACAATGTACTGCCTTCCCCTCAGAAGCTAGTCAGCAGTCATCATTTTGACGCTGAGGGTATTTGACTCAACATCTCTTCCTTTGGCCTGTCTTGACTGATGCTATTGCAAGGTGGCTAGTCTGTGATAAGATCCTACTTGTGGCTATCTGTGCTATCTGCGAGTTAAAAAAGATGGCAAACTGGAAGAGACAAATTGCATTTTGCAGTGCTTGCATATAGCAAGCTTGTTAAGTTTTAAACTCATCTGTTCATTTCTGCTTATTCATATGATGCAAGATATGGGGCGGAGGGAACCCCCCCCAGCCTTTTGTGTTGGTCATTGTTTGATCGGAATCTCAGGAATTCTGTACAGACTTCTAGGGGGGATGTGTTAGGTAACAATAGTCTAGAGTGCGTATAGGGAATGGACATGGGGGTACCCATCGGCCCCATATCATGCACGGTATCTGCTTATTTTTTATTACAAATCCATTTTTTCCCCAACAAATAAAGAATAATTTCTTATAAATCCAGTGATAGTATCTTCCAGCCAAATTGTAGTTCAAACCCCAGCAGTTGCAATTTTTGTGTCACGTTCTATTTTAAATCTCAAGTTATTTCTTGTACTCTATTTACAAAATGATACACAAAGCCTAAAAACAGTTTGCCGCTAGTTTTCAGGCAGTTTAACTGAAAATGTAAGATTTTGTCTTTGCCGCTTTGTACATTTCTGTCCAAATTTTCACTCTAAAACTTGTGGCATCAAAATACAAAAAATGAAACATAACAGGAATGTCCTCATTTTATTGGTTTGCTTCATCATATTTACTTTATTTCAAGTCTATTATTTTGTACATAAAATAAACGTTTTAATGATAAATCAATCATCATAATTAGTAACATAACTGTGCAAGTTTTGTCCTCAAGTGTACCACTGATGAGGTTTATAAGTGGTAAAACACAGACTTTCCTCTTAAAAGGATTCATAATACTTTATATATTGACTAAACAGTTTACTAGAAATGTTTTAGCAATTGTCTTTTGGGTACAAAAAATGTTAAATGCTGCACCTACTTGAATTCCAATGTGGATCATCACATTGCTGTGTGCCCTGTTTTCAGCAAACATTACTTCCAGAATTGATTTTAATAATCACATTTGTCTAATTATGAATACAACTGATCATAAGTCTGTCTACAAAATGTAATTTTTTTTCAAGAGATCCCTCCGCCAAAATAGCCCCAATCCAAACCGCTTTACACTTTTACACATATCACCAGCCACAAGGAATATTCATATATTAAAGAGTATTTACATACAATTATTTAATAGTTAATAGCCAATTAAAACTTTTACGTTCTCTGTATAAAGCCAAGACAATGCACAAACCTTGTTTGAGCAAGTCAAGCAGGCTGTGTTTTGTTTTGTTGGCTTACAGAAAATCTGTGGAAACAAGAAATCTCATGACTGGTAATTGTAAAATAACATACCAATGCAATAAAGTAAACATAAGGGGGGATTTCTAAGTACAAAATAATCACAGCGAATGGATGTTTTAACCCTAACCGCCAAGCATATTGTTTGGCTTACACTACACTGCACTACAAAATACTAAGTAATAGTCTGAGCCTGAAGGACCTAGCGCTACAAATTACTACTTCTGGCTAGGTTACTTCCATTGTTACTTGTACAGAGAACAATAAAGCCATGCATTCATAGTGCCACAGCACTGTATGGTACATTGTCTTTTCTATTGTATCTTATGGCTTCACAGAACAATAAAGTCATGTCCTCTTACAAGCGACAGGGCTCAGTACTACATTTAACAACAAGTACATGTAGTAATTTGTAGTATTATGTAGGGTTAGGGTTAAGAAAGTGGTGGTCGTGCCTGTCTGGTTCCCGAAGGACATAAAGATCTCAAAGCTTGCTGGTGCATAACTGGTGCCAGCCTTGAATGCAGAAGAGGTCTTTTCTTCATATCATGACTTTTTTGGAGGGGGGTCAAGACAGAGAATGAATGCATGATTTGACATCTTCATAAATACATTCCAACAAATGTATTTCAAGCCAAACCTGCACGATTACAATGTGTTATTTATCAAATCCTTCCCAAAGTATACAGTGGGACATTTGAAGAATTGGAGCTTCTTTCCATGAATGAACTACAAACAGTGAATGACAGTCACTTGAGCAATTTACATGTGGCCAAGTAGCCGACAGCTATTTCATAGCTGTCCTGGATACTGAAGTAATCAATGAATTTACACAATACAAAATAGCCATTTCACATTCACATCAATTTGTATCATCGTACAAATCCTAATTACACTATAAACACAGAAAAAATAAACTTTGACACATACAGGTAATTACTCAGAGCATCTTGTGGTCAAGTAAGTCTTTCAAGACACCAAGATGTATAGGCTATTTGTAACTTAACTCTAAGTAATGTCTAGTATCTTTTTTCCTCAAACTGTTGGTTGTTTGCATCATGTGAATCTGGGAGCAAGCCTCACACATCAGCTGTTTTGTCAGGAATGGCTTGTCTTTTTTTGCCATTCAAAGACAGTACACGGAGGCTGCTTGTCTCTTGGGTTGCTTTGTGAATACTTGCCGTGAATCATACACATCAGTAACAATTTTTCAGTTTGAAGAATTCAAGGTTAAGAATGTACTGGTACCAGATCTTTTACTCAAGATACGGATTCACAAACCATTTATTCCATCAGGCCACAATACCATTAAATTCTGCAACCAATTCTTGCTTTAATACTAGCAATGAACAAAAAAAATTTGAGAACTAATTTTCTGCCAGAGAGAAATTTGAAATTGGCAGAGAGGTGGCCACTTTTTCCATTTCAAAAAGTGGCAAGAACTCAGTCCCACTTCAATTATTCATTTTACAAATGTCTTTCAACCCAATCCTCACAACGTCTTGGATCTCATTCCTGTCAGCTCCTAAACAGACAGGGGGATCTCTTGTTTGATGGAGACAGTAAACCTACGAGTACAATATCAGGCTACTAAAAAACTGAGAGAAAATCTGCAATGGAAGTGAAAAGACTGATACATTAACTACACAACCAGCAAAACACAACTTCAGTGCTACACAAGTAACATGTATCATGTCACTGGTTGTTGAGAGGTTGAAGCAGGTCTCTGAAGTGAAGCTACACACGGAACATTTGTGTGTGAACTATTGTTTTCAAAACTGGATGACATTAACAGATAAACAGGTCACAGAACCTTTGACTTGGAGACAGGTAATTGATCCAAAGCATAAAAAGTGATTAGGTGAATACCCCCAAAAATGGACAAACAGGACTTTGAAGGTAAGAAAAATTTTAGGTTATAACAACGTGTCAAAAAACATGCCAAACCCACACCCGGGGGGGGGGGTGTTAGTCCTACATATGGACACAACGGGATTCAGTAACCAGCACTTGCACATTTGAACATTTTGGTATTTCAACCCACGAATCACCAATGAAAGTATGTCAAATGCACCAAATTATACCGACAAATGCCAGATACCGATGAAAGAAAGACAAAAACACTAGAGGAAAGACACAACTTCTGCATGTCGAGACGATTTCATTAACTGTAAAAAAGCTCTTAATTCCTGTACTTTACCACATTTGTAGAAACTCGGTGACCTGGACTTCCAAAGTTAGTCCACTGGTCATATGTTGAGGTTGAGCTGACTACACAACAAATTAACTGGCAACGTTTGTGACAAGCAAGCGACCTCTTCTAAGATACCTACTAAACAGTGTCAACATTACAAGCATTTCTTTTCAATGGAAAGAAAAAAAATGGAATATTTGAAAACTTCTTAAACGTCACACAGTAGATGGTGTCCAAATTCTCTGTCAATCAACCTGAAGCTCACCATTACATTAATATGTTGATGTATTAGTAACTCTGATGGATTACTCCGAAGAGTGTGCCAGTGAAGTCTGGTACCAACGTAAGTATTTTGGAATCAGTTCATTACTTCTGTTGCCCTCAAGGAACCAGACCACCATGACCACTGAATAAAAGACAAGTAAATTTTATCCCATCTCAGATTTGAGTACGTGAAATGCAATGCCAAACAGTCCTTCACTAGCTTGCTGTTCCAAACTAGGGGGCAGTTAAGAATTACAGATACTAGATTTAAACTGTGACATAAATGGGAGTTTGTCAAATTCTCAATGACGGGCAAGCCACATTTTTCCCAAAGGGAAATGTACACAACTTGAACAAACCAATGCGGGTTTTCAAACTAACTTTAACCCTACTCCATAGGTGTGTGCAAAATCATACTGAAATCGGAGAATTTAGTTTTGTAAGGAATATGTTTTCAGTTACACGTGTGAAGCAGTAAACCATGGTGTTATTTTTTACAAGAGTGTATTGTATATTTTGCAGTATTTAAAGAAATTTATGCGATGTCATTCCTTACCAGCTCCATCGAAATAAGGAATGAACATACCACCAGCTGCTGAATTGCTAAGCAGCTGGTAGTGCATTATTATCTCAAACAGCTTTCTTCCTATTCCCCCACTTTCATAGACGATTAGGGTGTTCACCATAATCTGCTTTCATTTTCCCTATAACAGAGTACCAAATAATCAACAGTGCCAATTACAGTTAAACGATCAGGTTCTCATCAATGGAAACCTCATTCAACCTTGTTCCTTGATACTTCAAAATTCGAAACGCAATTGTCCCCCCTTATTCCTCCTTTTGATGGAGCTGCTGACGAGTCCCTTAAGCTTATCCAAGCCAAGGGGGCAAAGAGATTCTACCGCTGTTGGATCTTGGTTCAGCATAATTGCACTATCTAACGTCCTACCTAGCTATGCCAAAGAAACAAAGGCTGGAGGAAGAAATCCGCGTCCTGCTATGAGAACAGGGTCGGGGGGAAGTTGCTGACTTCGCCTTGGTCTTGGATGGTTTGTCCAATTATGGTGAAAGCCATCTTGTAGCGCATGCGCATAGCCTGACGGGTTGGGTTGGTGACTTTGATGGTCTGTGTGACGGCACCCGAGTTGTTGGGCGGGATCACGTCACCCGAAGGCGTCAAGAGTTCGAGTTGGAATGTCTGCAAGTGAGAGGAGATCCAATTCATGTCATTTGCATGCAAAAATGTCATCAACAGTCAAGAGGACTGAAGATAAATTTCATTTAACACTCAGACATACTATGATTTTACTATAAAAATGCAAACTTAACTTTGGCATAAATATTTTGCTGAACAACATGTGAAGCCAAACTTAAAAGCAGGGATGCTATTATCTTGCTGCCGGAGAACTCCGTTTTGAGCACCATGGGTTTATACGTAGAGCCGAGGTGCCCGAAATGGGGCAAAAGAGCTGGTCTGTGTAACAAAAGACCGTACTTCGAACAAAAAACCTGCTACTGGGAATTGCCATCGTTTTTCGGCTTGTATTTTTCGAAGGCAATCCGTCACTGTTTTTAAACAGTATACCACTGTTTTGAGCAAAGCGCACCCGCGGATTAGCACCGTGGACAAAAGTGCTCTAGGGCCCCATTGATGAGCGACACAGCACCGCTGCATGCTAATCCAGCCGCATTTGAAGACACCCCTCGCATGCACCTTGGACAAAGGAAATTATGCAACATCCTGCAATTCTAGGCTCTCTTTACAGGCTGGCAGGCCTGGCTAAAATACTCAGGAGTCAATGAAAGTTGCCCGTCAGTTTAGAGTAGCCATCAAACAGTCATTTGTGTGGGTTCTAACGTCCATTAAATGAAATGATGAATTTTTGAAGGATTTTAAAAACTAAAAATCCTGAAAATCTTCCGTATGTGTGCAATGCATTTTTAAAAGCACCCGGCAGCAAGTGGTTAACAATTTGATGAAAGGCCTGAAACTGAAGGGGAATACTTTTGAGTTCCCCACTGTCTGCCCTGAAAATATATTTCTTTGTAAAATCATACTTTTAATTTTTTTTCGAAAGGTCTTTTTATCAGAGGAAAATCTGAAAGCTCTCATGTCTGTGGAGAGTGAAATGAACTATATTTTTGTGGAACTTTAAAAACAAAACGTTGCCCCATGATAACCGACAAACCTCCCCCTTCAATGTCTTGCTTCAATGATGATGACATTTTTATCGGTTAACCACTTGCTGCCGCATGGTTTGAAAAATGCAGTGCACACATACGAGACATTTTCAAGATTTTCAGTTTTCAACATTCTTCAAAAATTCATCATTTAAATTAATGAACGTTAAAACCCACAAAAATGACTGTTTGGTGGCTTTTTATCAATTTATATGTTGGGTAAGGGCACAACCTGTTATATAACATTAACATCTCCCTAATGCAAAAAAATATATACATCTTGAAAAGCCTGGTCTTTTGTTACGAGTACTGTCTTTTGTTACAAGGCCCAGTTTCCTTTGTCCCGGCCACGCTTATAAAAACTATGTGTCGGGTACCCCGGCGGTAAGTGGTTAGTAAGGGATCCAGGAAATAGATTTTTCTTAGAATCACTTTTTGTGTATCACTGTACTCTTCCTCCATGTATGAAGACTGTTTGACATCTTTTTTGAGTTGCGTGAACTGAACGGTGCCCCTTTTTCAAACATTAACCCTAACCCTCCTCAATCCTCCAACAGGTGAAGGATTCAGGAGGGTTAGGGTTAAAAATTGACCGAGCATTTCTGGACAAGTGAGGGCGCTTCTGCTTTGATATAAATCCAGGAAGACATGTTTCAGGTTGCATATTTTCATGCTCAAATTGTGAACCCCAAATTTGCTATCTGGAAACATTTCTCTGAAACAGATTTTTGCTGGATCATTGCCATATACTTACACAGCAATAAATGGCCAAAGAAAATGAAATCTGCCATAGCAGTGGTTAAAAAATCTAGAAATTTCTGTGCACAAATCAGTGCAACATTGAAATTTGGTGCCTTGGATGACATCATAGTTCTGCTCATGAATATGCAAATATGAAGCAGCATAAAACCAAAAAAGCATCAAAATTTGGGTTAAAGTAGCCAAACAAAAATTTAATATGAAGTTAACTGAAACCCAAAAATGCAATTTCAAGGGGTTTTTAGTAAAATTTATATAAATATTTATATTTTCTGGTTTCTTTAAGGAAACTACTTTTTCTTCTCGGTACAAAGCCAAGTTACCGCACGTAACCAACCTTTGGGACTGCAGCTTGAAATAGGAAACTAGTGACTGGGTTAGGAGTAGGGTTGGTGGCTTTCAGCATGATGGCTACTCTTTCTGGGGCCTCCCTCTCAAAGGCAAATTCGACCTTCAGATTGGCATTCTCTACGGCAATGATAGAAGGTATTGAAGGCCCTGCAACAGGAAAGAGAATGGGAAATTAACTCCAGCATCGCTTCCTTCAAGAATCATTTGACCATCTTGCTTCTCATCTGAGGGAGTAAGGTGTCTTGGATAAGGAGGTGAGCCCGTTAGACCCCTTGTAGCTGGTATTCGATATTGGTTCCTTTCACATGGCAAGGAATGAATGAAGAAACATGCATAGCAATCCCTCCATCAACTGAGCCAGCCAGTGCCTGTTCAGCAGTATGAATGCCTAAAGTCCAAGCTATTTAATTTTGTCCACTCCTGTTGCATGCGAGTTTCTTCTCTTAGGGTAGCAACTGGATTTAAAAAAAATTAGTTCACAAATCAAACAGTAAGAGAGACGGCTTCACTCTTAGATAAGTCATTTATCTCCCTTTGATCAGACATTTGAAGAATGACAAAGGGCTACCAAGATTTGATAAAGAAAGTTACAGCCATCAAGGAAAATGCTTCTTTCAAATTATAGACCAATCTTCTTTCTAATCTCCTTTTCTGTGCCACAAAGACAGTTTTCTGTGACTCACCAGTGAAATTATTGACCAGACCTCCAAGCAGGTCTGCTTGTGGTTGCTGGGCGGGCATCGGTTCCAATGTTCCAAGGGCATCCATGATATTAACAGGTGCAGGCTGGCTGGACACGGGTGCTAACGGCTGGAGGGACGGCGTGACAGGTGCTGGGGCACTCAGGTCTAGCGTGTCTGTCAAGAACAGGAAACACACAGAACAAGAAAGAGGTCACTTCGAGTGCAGTGATTTACTACCCCTGAACAGCAAGTCTATAAAGATTTCTGGAACAGATGAGCACCAGCTTCTCTTAAGCCACCAAGGTGACAACTAGCCTAGAAGTTTGATGCTGACTGCAGCAAAGTATGAGTGTCTCACCGAGCAGGTCTAATAGTTCACCACCACTTGATGTAGGTTCTGTCTTCTGGATGTGTGTGGGTGATAACGAGAAGCCTGCATTAGGAACAGGTGCACCGGGATTGTCTAGAAGCTCTAACAATCCTTTGCTCTGTGGTGAATAAAAACACAAACAGTCATGTTTTATAAAGCACATGTCAGCGCGAATCAACCCTCATGGCACTCTATCAATCCTAACCCTGTTCGAATCTGTAAGCATGCCCCAGACCATATCCCTAGGTAATATGAAGCTCCAACATGACACCAGCATGAAGAGTTGCCAAGTTGCAGTCTAGAAACTGAAAATGATGCCCCAGCTCATACATCAAAGAACTCTACAATGTATCATAAATGATGAATTATTTTCAGAAATTGTTCAACATGTTTTTTCAATATTCCAAGCCAGTTTCTGTTATTTTTTTTGCTTATCTCATTTATACACAGTAACTGAGCATTTTCGTCTTATGGGAGGAAGGTGATAAACTTTGCATGGACCGAGCTGTAAATTGACAAAGTCACACTTAGTTTTATATTAACACAATCATACAGAATTCAAGTGAGTAAACCAAATCATCGTTTACGTATGACTGCTCTGATAGCAAGAAATATTGTATCCACCAAGCTCAAATTTAATTAAAAAATTAGAAATTTGATGTCCTATTTAAGTTTGGAAAGCTGCTCTCCAAAATTGGTAAGAGAACACAAGATGCCGAGTTTCAGTTTTCATCTAAAAATTGACCTGTCCCCGTACCTCTTGCTGAACACTGGGTGGTTTCATGGGCTTTCTGTCTTCTCTTTCCCCATTCACGTCACCATTAACCTGCTTCTCTTCTTTCCTCTCCATGGGAGGCATTCGTTCTAGTAAACCAGACCTGTCAACGGCAATTAAACAAACAGACTGACCACACCAGATCAACAAATGAAGTCCAAAGTTCAATAATAAACACTCTAAATATTAATAAACATCTGTTACTAATTTCTTTCAGACTTGAAGGTTTCATAAGCAAGTTTATTGAGTAGAATATTATACAATGGTGGATTGAATGAAAATCGAGGCTGCTAGAAATGTGTGTAGTGATCCCAGAATCGACAGGTGACTTAGCTGACCTCATGTTGTCATGCGATGTGACTAATGCATTGAACTCCACGGATCTCTGTTGCAACTCGGTATCTAGACTCTGCGTGTAAGGTGCTGTCATCTTCTTGATGCGCCTGCAAGGGACAAAAATAACTTCTCTTGAGACCTGACGCTATTCATCATCGCATCATCGGAGAATGAGGAGAAAGACACAAAAACTCCACAGGAGTGGATACAACAGTGACAAGAATAAAACACTGTGAGTTTTTAGTGCTCTTCACAGCTGACAAAATGTCATTCTCTCAAAACACGGACATGACAGGCAGTCTTACACTTGGTGATTTTAAAACTAAGTGCTGGGCCAAATGGTTAAATTAAAAAAAAATTTGAGACTTTTAGGTAAAAAATCCCGGAATCTAGAAAATCACGAGGGATCACTTTCCCATCATAAAAAATACAAGCAAAACTTACACTGAAATAAATACAACGGCAATGAGTTTATATATAAATCATTTAACTCTCAGTTTCTGAATCGAGCCTTGACGTCAACACTTAAAAATAGGATATGTCTTTGCAAAAATACTTCAACGCTTTGGACTTACTCTGTTGAATGTGTAAACCGTGCACTGATCTTACAGATAGCCTGGAGAACATACTCTTTGGTTACTTGCGTCGAGGATGTAGATTGAATAACAGACTCTAGCAAGTCTAATGCCTCGTCTTCTGAAACCTACTCACAAGAAATCAAACACATTTAGACATGTATTTAAAATGGGAATCCTCTACAGCAAACACAAAGCAATGTTTTAATTGTTGAAACAAAATCAATTAAAAATCACATTATGTTGAGAACTTAGTTTTGATTTACTTGGATTTTAATAGAACAAAAAAGTAATCAAGAAACAAATTAAATTTCAAAGGGAGAAACAAAAAAATGAACGTTAAAAATCAGTTGCCAAAGTTTCCAAGCATGACAGGGTTAGTAAGCTCGTCAACTCTACCCTCTCCATATAGACAAGACTAGACAGACGCAACAGCCTTGGCAGCAGCCTGTACCGACACATACGAACCTGCAAAGGTTCTGTCTTGCCAGGGTCATAAGTGGCCTGCCTGAGCTGGTCCAAGTCTAAAGCCGGGACGTAGTAGGTACGTACCTGCACCGGCTCCTCCTCCTCGATTGCCCCGCCCACTAAGAGGTCGCCGTACTCTCCCATGCACCACGATGCAACTTGGGCTAGCGGTTGCTGCACATAAAAAGAACGCAAACTCAATTAACTCCTTCTCTTGAAATATCCAAACAAAAATGTTTTCCAGCTCAGGCAGGTATTTGAAATTTTTATAAAGCAGTTGGTAAGGTAAGTACTACTGAACTCTGAATGACACTCAACAATGTAGTACATGTACACATGCTCTGAGAACAGTGAACAGAAAGTCACCGGATACAAATATAAAATAAGCATTGCTTTGGAGAACTGATTTGCTGAATAAAATACATGGATGAACATTAACTTTCAACGCATAGGGTTAACTGTACACCACATCAATGGACTATAACACCGACAATACTTTGCTACCTGCAATGTTGACTTTGAACATAAAGAAAAGTGAAAGTATGGAACACCTGAGTCATAAGGGTTTTAACCACATCCTGCCGGGTGCTTTTAAAAATGCAGTGCATACATACGGGTGATTTTCAAGATTTTCAGTTTTCAAAATTCTTTAAAAATTCGTCATTTCACTAAATAGACGTTAACACCCACACCAATGACACGAGTACGGTCTTTTGTTACACAGACCAACTCTTTTGTCCCATTTCGGGCACCTCGTCTCTGCATATAAACCCATGGTGCTCGAAACGGGGTTCCGCAGCAGCAAGTGGTTAACCTGGCTCAGTCAATCATCACTCCATTCTGACATTGTGGACTTAAGCGTCTCCTCTTTTACAGTCACTGCCTTGGGCTCACTGATGGACAAAAGAAGTCCGCCATTCCATACCTGACTGATGTCCTCTTTCAAGGCTTTGTAGAGCTGCTGTACGATGTAGCCATGTAGGTTCGACGTCTCGGAGATGTTCTGGATGAGGCTAGCCACCGAGTCTTCGGGGACGTAGTTGCCTGCCCCAGTCAGCACTCGCATCATTGTGTCTATATGCCATCTCTTGTTGGGAGCATATCTACAAGGGTGAGGGCAAAACACAAATGTGTCATGTGATACAACATGGCATCGGAATTTGGTCCAACAGATAATCATTGTCTGGCCAGGTGGCTAAGCAGGTCCTGGTCCAGAGCCTGAACACAAGGCCAGAGAAGCCTGAATATACCCTGGTAAAGCCTGAAATTAGCCCTACATTTTTAAATGAAATAGCCTGACGTCAGGCTTTTGCCTAAAAAGTGGCATTCTTGCTTGCCCTAGGAGGCTGCACATGTACGCCACAAATACCATTTAGACACGAGAGATTGAGGGATGGCTTTTGTGTAGAAAGAGACTGCCTGTTCCACGTGCATCTGACGTAAAAAGGAAGGTTGGGGAGTGAAGTAAGTTTCTTGTATTCCCACTTCATGCCAGGCTTTGACAGGAAGAAGCGGAACCAATCAGGACGTTGGTGTCATCTGGTCTGTGTTTGAGAATTGCCTACTTACCTCTCGCAAGTGGAGATGAGGTTGGAGGACGTGTACGACTTGAACTCTGGGTCTGTCTTGTCCAGGAAGAAGATGAGCTCTTTGACCATGCTGCGGACGTTGTTGGAGTTGATGAGGGCAAAGCATAGTTCCACTGCACGCCTGTTGGAATGTGTGAATATTGTTACTAAAAGAAGGCACATCAACAGGGTGGCCAGTGTAACCACGGTAAGCCTCAGTCAAAGGTTTTCTGGCTAAGGCTGGCTATGACAAGAGTGTCTGTGGAAGCAACAAACTTCTGCTTCAAGGTTTGTAAACATTTTGGTGAATTCAAGACTGCAGAATAATCCCGGGTGGAATTTCCAGGAACTCCCAGTTGGCAGTAAAAAAAATTCGTAATTCATATATAAGAACAAGGTCTCAACTTTCGATGTTTACTTTCTGACAATTTGATTCAAGCTGAAAGGCTGAGCTTACTTTTTAATTGAAATGTCCGGATCTTTCAGACAGTCCACTATAGTACTTCTGTGTCGCTGTACTGCATTCATGTCACTCTGTACAACCCTTAGTAAAGTGTTAAGAGCCACGTATCTGCAAGAAAAACAGGAAGTATTACATTCACATCTAATCTTTTAAATGACGAGTAAAATACCATGAGTGCAAGTTATAGAACCAAGAACGATGGATTATTCTTGTCTGGAAATGGAATTAAGGAGATTCTTTACAGCACTCCTGCAATGGAATAAAATCACAGCAGACGGTAGCTGTGCAGCAAGCTAAGATACCGCAAATGTAGTTGATTATAATGTAATAAACTCCTGTAGCATGAGTTTTAATTAAGACGTACGTGTACTTCAGCAATTTTGCTCTGAGGATGTTCTCTCTTGACACTGGCTTCACAAAATATAAAAATGGATGGAACTGTGTCGGTGAATGACAAACGATTATCCCTTCCCCTCCCAAATCTTTCAAAATCCATCAGAAAGTTGAGGATCCTGAAGGACTGAGTAGGGTTGGGCTTGGCCACAGTTACTTTGTGAGCAGAATGATGCTTCTAGAAAAGTTAAAAAAGTTTGAAGATTTTGGTACTGGCTTCATACAATGTGGTGGATTTTGAAGAATTTAGGAAAAGTATTTTCAAGATGTATTTTTTTTTTTTTTTTAGGAAAAGTACTTATTAAAAATGTCTTGGGGGTTTAAAGGTGGTGTACACCATTGGTAAAATCCCAAAAATCGGACTACCGTATAATCCTGAAATATCTTACTTGAAAGAAAGTACATAACAGTCTCAATTAGTCTATAAAGTATTCCACCCAGAACGCTGTAGTTTTCGAGAAAACGAAAAATGTTGTTCTCTTTGATTACGATGGTCGGCCGACCATCGTAATAGAGTTAATTTCACTTTGCACATCACATCCTTTAACAGGCACCAAATTTCTTATGTGTAGTATTTGCAAGTGTTGTGGGAGTCTCTATTAATTAACGGATAAACCTAAAAGCAGCTAAAAATACACTGACATTCTTTCACCAAAAACACTGCGATCTGAAATTATAGGAACCTGAGTGTTAGGCGTAAAGTAGAAAATAAATGGGATCCGTGTGAAGTTGAATTTTATTTAAGGAAAGGTTTTTTTAATGGAAAACTTTGTGACTTCAAAATCACCCCTAAATGATAATGGTATGATCCAATATGGTGGCTGTTTCCAAGCACGTTAATCCTCCCTTGTTTAAAGACATAATTCTTTTTACTTATAATTATTAATACTCAACTATGAATGGAATTTTAAACTTTCAGCGATGTGTGAACCGACATGAAAGTGCCGTTATAAACACAATCGAGTGCGCACGTGCATTATCATACAGGCCTACTCGTTTTGATGTCATGGACACAAGTCGACTGCTGTGTTCCTTGATGAAGTTTTTCCATGAATCCGCAATGCTACTCCAAGGTAAATTCACTGATTACTTCTAGCCGTTGAAAACTGCTCCCTTTTTAAGGGAATGAGAACCTGTCCTGCTTGTTTGCCACCCTGACCCCACGGACGATGTTTGCTTGCACTACGAATGCCCTATAATCCATACATTTTTCGCAAGATAAACTACAAGACCTTCAATTTAAGTATTGAAAATACCGCGCCGTTTTTCTTGATTTTTCACAAAGCTGTTGACTCAATCATGAAACAAGTGAGTGGAATGTAAGTTGCAGTGAATATCACACACCGTAATCAGCCAATCTTGTGAAATTAGAAAAAACACCAATGGTGTACACCACCTTTACGGGAAGAGATCTAGGAGAATTTTGTGTTTAAATTTACCTGATATTCTTGTCATTGTTCAGTAAGAACCTGCCCAGAATGTTGATAGCAAGCACCCGCAGCCCACTCTCAGACTTGATGTCCATGATGCACAAGACAGTCTCGTACAGGATGGCGTTGCCTACGTTCTTACTGGTCTCCGTGTTGGTGGCCACCTGAGCCAAGATATCGTTCATGGCCTCACTGCAGTCCATGTCCGACTTGCCCAAGATCCTCAGCAACCGCAAGATCTTGACCTGGGGTTGGGAGACGTAATCACAATGCACTCAGAGTTGACAAGCACTGCCGTCATGATTGGTCATGGGTGTCAAATCATTCAGTGATCGAGCCTCACCGCTTTGCAAATGTTACAATCCAACAAATCTCTCACCTGAAGGAAAGGATCACTGACGCCAGACACATCGTGCTCTGGTGAATAGCCTGACATGATGAGGGTCTTAAGTATTCTAACAAGGTTTGGCACAATCTGATGGAACAGGAAGAAAAGATTGCAAGTCAATTTATTGCGGTTTTACTGAGCTTAATTCCTGAAATAAGAACCTGTCTCACAGGATGTGACAAACACCATGGAAAGAAAAAGTATTATGTTCAAAGCCAAAGTCACATTCAATGAAATTATTTCCTTTTCTGGTTGCAAGAACAGCGATACAAATAACATACAGGAACAAAGGTGGAGTATAATCTGACAAGCATTCCAGGAGTAGGCAAGGTGCTGTGTTGTGTACTAATTGAAGCTAAGAAAACTCATTCTTAAAAATGAGGGTGTAGGGTGCACGGGAAGACAAAACCTTCACCAAAATTTCTCAAATCCACAATCAATTTCTCCCAATCTCAATTTATAACCATGCTTGCAATGCACTCTTGTGATTAAACTTTTTAACTACAAGTTTGTCTTGTAGTAGCCTGGCACAATGGCAGCTGCAAATTTTCGACATAATGTGAACAAATGCACAATGTCTTTGCATGAGATGAGTGCACACTGGCATCGGGGTGCGGCAGAAATGCTGTCTCCTGCTTTCAACAGCGTATCACACATCCCTAGCTGTGAGTGTAGTTAAATGTACTATTAGTTAACACAGAGCCCACTGGTAGTGCCATGATGACTTCATATACTGATGTCAAAATTTCCCACAAGCATCCATGCATTCAGTCGTGCTTAGCTGATTAACCCCCTGTAGTCAAACCAAATATTGTGTAGCATCAGAACTCTACGCGATATTTCTCCATAAAAATCATTAGAAAAGTGAAAGTAATTGGTGACACACTCAAGATTCCTGGATTTCTTTCCAACATACACTTTCAACAACAAAATGCAAGAAACTTGATAGAACACCTGATTTTCAAAAAAATGACAAAGTTTGGTACAATGATCGGAGAGTGCTTTTATGTGACAAGATGATGTCAAAATCACAGCTGTAAATAAAAATCAACTAGGCATACTTGTGCATGTTGGCCGTGTGCAGAAGTCATGGAAGCAAATGAGGCATTATTCTTTCAGAACATATAAATTTGAACCTCCACCACTGACAGACTTGACACAATCCATAACATTCCATAAACCAAGACCACAACCATGTTGCAACAGAAGTCTCCAGAACTCATCAAAAAGCCACTGGGTGCGCAATGTGGTTCTTTATGTATTCACAAACTAACGAGGGCACCAGTACCTCAGCAAATCATGGTGAGGGCAATGACAAAGACCCCTCCCACAACAGCAGCAGAGTCCCCTCCCACAACAGCAGCAGAGTCCCCTCCCACAACAGCAGCAGAGTCCCCTCCCACAACAGCAGCAGAGTCCCCTCCCACAACAGCAGCAGAGTCCCCTCCCACAACAGCAGCAGAGTCAAACCTCTCATTATGCCATGTACAGAAACGGCTTCACGTGTTTGGTTTTCATGTGTGCTTTTGACTATTACTGAATGCATGAAACATGAACCTTGCAGTGGAAGATGGCAGTAAATGCTCTAGCCTTACATTACTGTTTTACACTGCAAGAAGGCCACAGCTGCATTGCAAGTAGAATTTTTCAAAGAACCAAGCGTTGAGACCAGGTTGCTTCTTAGGAAGCAGGTTAGCGGAGCAGCAGTTGTGGTTGTCTCCCAGGTATAACCTTGGTTCAAATCCCAGCCAGGTCAACATGCCACTTGGATTTTAATGTCAGTCCCTCACTGATTCTGTTGCTCTTTGCCCGAAAATTTACCAGGGTTTTATTCCACACCTTTTCAAACCAAAGCTTTCAATTTATCTGCACATTCATTCAAGTAATAATGCCTTCAGAATACTTCCGAGGAACTCTTCATTTTTGGGGCCAGAGAGACAGAATTTTTATCCCCGAGTTTGGCTGACGAGACAGTGCACAACCAACTACGATGGAGACAAACTGAGGTACTACTGGCAAACATGGAAACTTAAAAGAAAGGAAACATGGACAGGCATGAAAATGAAAACAGACAAATCTTGCCGACGGTACGAACGTAACACATACCTCCTTAACCTTGTGTGTCAGAAATAGGAGTGACATATTATCAATATTGAGGGGGGAAAAGATTGGGGGAAAAAAAAATTTCAAATTAATAATTGGTTTTCAAATTGGAAAGGAACATGAACAGCACAAGATGCTGCTGTCATACAATGACTCGCAGGTAATTTTGTGAGCACAGTGCAGAAAATACCTACCTCTGAAACCAAAATTTGGAAAGGGGCTTCCAGTTTTATTCTTAAGAAGCCATAAAATCAAGTTTGTGGTTTAATGAGGAGATTTCCTTATGTATTAGTCAGACAGCTGGGTAGGACAACTCGACTATTACTCTGACAGAGGGATTTGAACCCGCAATGATTAGCACTGTGGCTTATGGTGCCTGACCAGAAAGAAAAGCTTGATATCAGAAGAGGATCAGGCCCACCTTGCGAAAGTGCAGGAGAGTATCTGGGCTCCGGGAACACATTTCTGTGATGAGAACCACTGCCGTTAGTTGAACACCTGAGGAAAGAAGTGGAAATGGAGGCTTGAGTTTTACTGCTGTGAATTTCGCCACCTGCTCCGGATTTACAAACAGACTCAAGGAAATGGTTTTTCTTGGCTTTTTGCAAATGGGTTTCGGCTCACACTGCACACACGTTGATCATGTCACCTACATCGTAATACCAGCTCTGAATCTATCACTTCCCGTTAACAAAACCGAATATTACACATGCAAACAAACTATGGCAAAATGAAACCCCATAATTATTTTTGACTGAGGTGAGCTGACATGCAACTATCAACAGAGGAGCTACCTGAAACGAATACAATCTTCCTTTGAAAGTATCTTTGGAACAATAATATTTAGGAATTTGTGTGAAGACTGAAGGTAAAAACGTGCACATTGTAATTAAACTTTCCCTGGGACCATGTAAACAGCCACTCAAGGCTCCTTCCTCAATGGAACTACTTGGTGGGTTTAGAAGATCTTGAAGGGTTCAGGATTAAGGACTGGGTCTTGCTATGTTTATGGTTTTAAGAGCTATATTCCAAACACTCACCATGATTCTTGTCATTAAGAAGTGAGCGTACAGCAGGTATAAACATCTCCATGAGGTCAGGGACCTTTCGGATGATTCTTACAGCACACAAAGCAGCCTATTTTGGGAAGGGGACATAGAAACCAAAAACCAACTTATAGACAACTCAACTTTCTGCTGGGTTTTTGTCTGTTTTTAATGGGAAAACAAAGTCTGATGAATACTCTGTGGCACAGGCTAAACAAGGTTCGTAAAGTAAAAGGAGTCCTGCCCAGACCATCTCCAAAACAAAATAATGAATTTGGGTAATCAAAGCCAACTGCCTTTGCTGGTTCAGTAAACCCATCTAACTTGGAACCACAACAGTTGACTATGTCAGCAGGACTCTTCCAATGCTGAGTACAGGTAAGCTAAGCCAAGATGAGTGAAAGGCTGGGTCTTCAAACTGGAAAGCTTTTAACATTCCACCAGGAAAACAACCTGTTCTCAGTAAGCTTCTTCAATCTTTTAAGCTTCAGGCTTCAGTCTCACCAGTTTTGTACCCACCAACCTATATTTTAATAATTTTAACACAGCTCAAATTTTTCTGCTATAGAGACATCTATTTATGTGTGTAAATCTGATTGTGGAGTTTCAGATGAAGTCTACCAAAGCGAGATGAATCCAAGAAAAGAAAATCTCATGAGAAAAATATACTCTATTCCATTAGGAACAGGCTGGTAACTGAGTCACAAAGTCTACAGCTCATTTAAAAATGAAGGGAAAAGAGAGACCGAGAGTTTTGTGACATTTCCTAACTGGTACGAAAGCCTAAGAACTCACCTTCTTCTTGATGTAGGCATTGGAGGATTTGACAAGTTTTTCCACCTCGCCGGCTAGATCTCTGCTCATCTCTGGTGAGCAGATACTGCCAAAACAACTTAGTGATAAGCCTACTATGTACTGGGTGTTGTGATCCATGTCACTGCAAGGAAGTTAGGGTGGGGGAGAATGTCAAATGAATTAGATTTCCATGAGAACAGGTTGATCAATTTTCAACGGGTGTGAGGGTCAAGAATGGACAGAGCACCAATGCTACCAATCTGGATGTAGCTCCAACAACCTGTGTTCTGAAAAGTTTCTTAATGAAACATTTGTAGTAACAATTAGCATGATGTAATATACTGATAGATTAACAAACGGACATGCCCCCCAAATGACAGTGAATGTTGGCAACATATGCGCAGGGTAATTCCAGAAATTAAGGGTCCATTTTGTTCGTGTCCCTGTCACATCTGACATATGATTTTGTAAGTTCAGAACACATTCTCCAATTTCCAAGAGTGATGAATTAATGAAAATTACCTGCCAAACAAATAGTAATAGTTGGAACTCAATGCGGGTGATATTTCCATGTCAAATAACAAAGGTCAGATGTAACAGGGACACGAAAATGTCACACTTTTGGACCTCTAATTTCTGGAATTACCCAGCAAGTGAATTCACAACTGGCACTCAATCACAGGCCTGATTTGCCATGAAGAGGAATTTTTAAAAGGACTCATTTTTTTACTGCAACATGTCAAATATTAAATGTTTTAGCTCTTCCCAAAAATAAATAAGTCATTTGAATTGGAATTCCAATAAAGAAGCGAGGTGAAACAGTGATATGAATCAATCCATGTGTGCATCCCAAAAGACTCAGACCAAGGCAAAGGCTTGAAAGGCCCTTGATTTGATTACATAGCAATAATCACATTACCCGGCTTACTAGGGCGCTGTTTAACAGGCCAGATTAGCACCTTTCCTGTAGTGTGTGCAAGCAGGTATGAGGGCAAGAGTGTTATTCTGGCCCAATCCCAGGGGAGACCTTGGGTGAATGGATATTGTCACAGGATGGGAAGGGGAAGGATGAGTGAGACTATTCTCAGATCGGTACCAAAATCAGTTCACTTGGCATCTTAGGTCTCATCAAGCCAGGAAGGGGACACTGCACCCGACCTCTTCCCTCTAATTTCACCGTTAACCCCTGATTAAAACCATCTCTGGTAGAACAAAATCGGGACCTCAATAACATGCTCTTTGAGTCTTGATTGAATCAGGCTGCCTAAACACCATGAATAATGTGCAGAGATCAGGGACGGGTGGTGGAGAAGTCAAATGGTAAGGTTTCATAAATTTAACCCCAAACAAAACCCTTCAAACCCATTTACAAGATCTTGAAGATAAATCATAGAATTTTAGAGGCTTACTACATGTAACATATATCCAGAGAGCAATTTTCTTGGTAGGAAGCAGGCTGAAATCCCACTTTAAATCTTTTCAATTACACTTTTGCCCTATAAAAACCAGACAGGCGCCTTTCCTGGGAACTTGTAATATTCTTAGTTTAAATCTTTTACACCAGCATTAGGGAGGACAACTGTACTGGTTTGGTTTTGATTTCTTTATTATAAATACAATGAGACATAAAATGTGTAGATCACCGACCTAAGGTTAGGTTAAATACGTGAACAAATAAGCAATAGTTTGAACTCACTTTTTCATGGAGTTGGTCATAAGTAAATGAACATCGTGCCGCTCATCCAATAAGAGGGTAGCTCCCAGGTAGCCAATGCGCTTATCCGTAAAACGGGGGGACGCTATGAGTTTCAAACATTCAAGCTGATAAAAAAAAGATGTCATAATCTTTACCAAGGTTTGATTCCTACCAAGGCCATCAATTTACCCTCTAATATAAACAACATTTCCACCCTTTTTGTTCAGCATTTCTAACTAGACTAACAGCCCTGAAATAGCATAGTTCCTTTTGAAAAGTCCTAGGCTGCATCATCACTAATTCATGAAGGCCCAATCTGCAGAAATACTTTTCATTTGATCTGATGTCTCTTGGGAGACCATCTATGTTTTCTAACATGTAACACTCCGCTGTTAAGCAGACAAGTCCCAAATGAGCTAACCTTACATACCAAATGTGGACTTGTGAACAAAAGATATCCTCACGATGCAGGAATGGAAGACGTTCTGTGGACTTACACGTGTCCACAGGACATTTCCCCTTCCCTGAAAAAGAAGTTTAGAGGTATTTTGGGGTTGGGGTCAACCATTGTAAAAGGAAGAGGAATAGTCATGGAAACCTTGTACAAAAAGCCGGCTGAAAATCGTGTTCCCAGTTCAAGAAAAACGAGTATTTTCACTGAGTTTTCTTAACTGCACAAAAAGAAAGGAATGTCCACAGTAGGTATGTAAGGTAAGAAGTATGGGTGTACACACATGTGTATACATCCATGTATAACGACCTGCGCTGTACACGTTAGTATGCACAGACTTTATCCACATGCAAATACAAACTGATCATTCTTACATTAACTGCAACCAGCATCAGGAAATGAAAACCAAACTTGCTAGTATCTGTACTCATTTGCATTCAAACGTAATGACACGGGTAAAAACCAAGTACTGAGACAAATGTAGAGTGGATGAACCACTGACTCAAGCAGGTGTTGATATGCCTTCATTCCTCCCTGTTCACTTTGAGCATTGACCAAATCCCTTTTTAGCTGACCTGTCCAAAGTGGGCGGGGTAGCCCAGCATGTTGATGTAGAGCAGCTTGGCCACGTTGCGGCAGCGGTACGTGTTGTCCTCATCGCGGAAGGAGTTGCGAATAATGGCCAGCTCTTTCTGGATCACAGACCTCTCGTCGGCAGCCGTACGTGCTGCACGGATATTCCTTATCAGATCCTTGAGCCGTATAGGGGTAGGCATCTTAGACAGCTGTACGTGAACAGGAACAAGTACAGGACATGCAGCAAAAATAGAAACCAACCAATAAAAACGGTAAACAATAAAAGCACTTCTTTCATATATTCAATGAGAAATGTTACCCACTGTACATGGCTGCTTACAACAGCTACTATTAAACTGAGAATGACTGTGCAGTCAAGGAATGCTAACTTCACACATGCATGTAAAAGCCCCAAGTCTAAGGCTTGCTGCTGTTTTTGATCAGGGGCTAAATGCGACAGAAAAACCAAACTCCATTAACAGGAGATAGTTGGTGATAAGAATGAAAAATCAATTAATGTGTGAAAGACTGCGTGCCCACGGCACTGCACAAACACCTGTGTCTCAATGACGGAATAAAAAAAAAAATTCCTGCATCAGATCACTCTTAGTTGTTGTTATAAAATGCACTAAACTGTGAAAACCACAAAATCTGCTAGAAAGGCTCTGCACCGTATGAAGAAAATATGGCACAAATGCAAAATGTTGAATTTCTTGAGTGAACCCCCCCAAAATATCCTGAAACAAAACAAAACTAAACAGCCTCAAAATAAATGAAAAAAGAAAGTAATTGATTGAAATTAAATATTCTTGGTGCTGGAATTAGCAAATGAGATCTTGGGCACAAACTTAAAAGAGAATAAACAGCTTTGAACTAATCAGGCACATGAATGATTAAACACAGCTTGCTACAAATTAGCATGGATTTCTAAAAAAGTCACTATCAAGCACAACACTAATGACATGCTAAGGGCAAAGCAGGAAATCAAGCGCCAACACAAATAGCACAAGTACATGTACATGATGTATACTGAATTTACACCAGCTTCCAGTTTCGGGGGGGGGGGGATGTTTAAGGTGAGTATACACCATGCCCAAAAGCCATAACAGGCCAAATAAGGCAAGACCTTATCAACAGAGGTTATTTCAGGGCTTGAGGTGAATTAGGCTCCCATAAATTCCCTTCTGTAAAATGTCAATTAAGAAGTGGCATTGCATGAAGTTTGGCCCTTGTCAATTTCAACTTATAACCCTGTTGGGATGTATTCAGGGTGTACTATTTGAGGTTGCAAGAATATTCACAGTCGGCACCGATGACGTAGCGATATGCAGCAGACACATGTACATGTCCAAACCATTATCGCATTCTCATCAAACCAGCTTTGAGCACAGAGCTACACCGTACATAAACCGGCAGCTCTGTGGGAAATGAATACATATATGCCCCACAACTCTGGCCCAATTTTTGTATTCCAAACAGACATGCAGATGGCTACAGATGGTCCACAAATGGCATGCATGAGCATGCCCATACTATTCAGGGCTCGACATAACCATTGTAGAGCTTGAGCAACAGAAATGAAATGGAATGCAAGTTATCCTCGACTCAAGCTTGCGTTTTGGGCAAGTTGGAAAAGTTCTGGTATAATTTGTTACATATTGTTAAATATTTCACAGTAAAATCTGTATGATTAGATTGAAAAAACAAATATTGACAAGTTAAATGAGCGTGTATTACTGTAGTTTTTTCTGTCTCTCTGTCCTCAGTGTCCCGGCCATATCAGCAGATTGGAATAAAATCTATGCCACGCAAATTTGCTGCAACAGTTCTAGTCAAACATTCCTTCCACTTGATTGGCAACAGTATTAGGATAGATATGTAGGAGTCATTTGACTGATTGGACAACTTTATCAAGAAAGCATCTTGGCATAGGAGTTTTAATGTATACATGGTACAGTGCAGATGGCAAATGTACATTGTTGCTTGTTTTTGTATGTCTTTTTTACGAAGTGTTGTTACAGTAGCTCAGGTTGTTTCAAATTCTTATTTGTGCAAGGTGCAAGTAACTTTCTTTTTGGAATTGCAAGCCCTGCTATTCATGTCTGTTAAAGTCAAGAATTTTCCGCTTTGCGGAAAATTCGCAAAAATCGCGGATTTGGGGGTAGAAAGCGGAAAACGCAATTCTCGGTAATCAAAATTCATAAATAAAATAAATATAAACCGAAATTAGGAATGACAACTCATTTTCACGGTTGAACTCACTTTGAAAGTAACATTTGGTAGCGTTCCCCCTCCTGTTTTTCATTTGCAATATCGCAGAATTCAGTATTGATTTCCTCCGGCTCTGCACCGCGGAGATCACACAGGTCCCCGTTCCTACATAGTGCCCAGACGTCTCACGGCTTATGAATAAATCAACAGGGACAGGGACCAGTCCAAGATCACAGTGACATGGTGCGAGTTGGCCCTAAATGTATCATTATGCCAAAGATACCTGTAGATGTACAGTAAATGTAGGCCTACAGTACATATGTACAGTCACATACAGTTTCTGTACACAAAATTTAGACAGCGGAAAAAAGCAGAATTTAACTTTCAGACAGCGGAAAATTCTTGACTTTAATGTATGTACACGTACATGCACTTTGAAGGACACACATATAATTACCTGTACAGCCTGCTCTGACAGGGTCTATGGTGTTTTGTACACAATTGTTTTGTTTATACCATGGTCATAGATTACACTGGAACAGTCTTATCTGTGTAATTCATGCATATTTTATAGAAAGATAAATTAAAAACCTGTGATGAATGAAACACTTAAACAGCAAATTAGATATTAAAATTACAAGGAAAATTAAAACTGACTGTGCTGTCCTTTGTTGAGTGTTTTATGTTTGTTTTTTAAAAGAGGGAAGAATCTAGAATTTATAAGAGACTGGTTTACAGAGAGACCTGGGATTAATAAACCATTGGGGTTTTGATTGATGGTTGAATTTCAAGACATTCACATGAAATTCTGGAACAAAATATTGGCAAGATTGAAGAGCAGACCAGGAAGAAGCAATGACATGAGTGTTTATATGTTAACAATACTGGCGGTTGCAGCAGAAACAATGATTAGAGTATGTTACAGGTGTTCCACGAGCATAGCTGGGTGCACGAACAGAGGTCTTATAACCAGAGCTGCCAACCTCACTTGACCGAAAATTCTATTTTACCTCAAATATCCCATTTTCCGAAAAAAAATCCTATTCTTCACCAATGCGTACCTTGGAGCTTGATTCGTATGCGAACGATCGAGCGAGCGCACTGCATAGTCTGGGTCCCAGACTGATTTTGCTTATACATCCATAGTTTACGTATGGTGCACAGACGAACTGCACAAACGAAGCATATCACATGATAAATTCACAACCTATACAAATTCACTATCTATGATCACGGTATAACACTTAGGTACCCTTTAAAAAAGCCTTGCTCTCTCACAGACTGCTAGAAAAATAGTTGGGAGTGAAAGTTGAAATCTATAAATTGACCTAAAGGGACAAGTAGACAGAGCTCATTTTCTCAAATACTGACACACATGTACATTATGGAAGCAAATCCTCATGTCAGCCTTGGGGTGGATTGGTTCAGCTACAGTTTATGTTCATTATTTTGTAGTAGGGGACAAAGAAACATACACGTATAGTAAATCATTCCCTATTCTGTTCTTTGACTGATTCCAATTTGAGGTCAACCTACAAACCTACAAAGCCAAGGTTGTTTATCTTATGATTTTTCTCAACTATTAAAAAAAACCCTGATGCAGTGTGCTGGCTCACCCTACCCATGACCTCGGCACCAGATGGATTTCAAATACAAATAAACATTGGGTGTTGTATTCAACTTGGAGGTATAGTCTACAGTGGTGTTACACGTACATGTATGTGCCAGAATAGGAGTTTTTAACAGTAGAGAGTAAGCAAGAAATGCTTAGAACGAGATTTGTGGCTACTGGGAAAAGTACAGAGACGCCAACTTTTCAAAATGAAAAAGTGTACTCCTACTGCATGACTCCAAATTACCTATTTCACATGTACACTCCAAAAGAAACACATTCAAACCCTATGAGCTGAAGTTTATTGTAATAGTCATGATAGTTAAAGCCCCCCCCCAAATAGTTCTGCTTCCATTTCCTAACTGACCCTAACTTTTTGGCGCAACCGTAAAATTTTTTGTCAGCAAGTTAGAAAAACAAATTAAAAAAAAAAAAAAAGAAGCAATCTTACAAAACAATTCTCAACAACTTCACGTAGAAACATGAAACTTCCATATTCATCTCAGGTTCCCATTGCGTTTTGCTACTGCAGTGGTGAAAACATGTGTGCAATGCTCAATGGAAGGAAGCAATGCTACACTGGTTCCCGCTGTGCCATTGCCAAAGAAGGCATGGTGGAAGTGCAGCAACCAGTCTATGCAAAGCATGGCAAAATTACGGACCTGGCAACTGTACCATCATAAATGCAACACTGCACACACACGCAGGGTCACGTGAAAAAAAAACATCGATAATACAAGACGATTTCTGCAAGTTAATTCACAGAACTTGATCTCTTGTCTATGTTCATGTCGGTATTTTCTGTGCTCATGAATGCGAGGTTGTATTGCTTGCACCTGAAACGAGTGTGTGTCCACACAATTTCCTTCCGCAGCAGGAGGCTTATCGCCGGCTCCTAAAGATGCATCACGTACGTTTACCATCTGATATACGGACATCGTTGGCCAGTTTCCTCTCAAGATTACCTGACTGGCATTGTGCATAATGGTGTAAATTGTCCATAATTTTTAAGGATTGTCGGCCGTGTGTATTTTTAGATTGATTAAGGCAAGTTTTTATCAATTTTATGTCCCCATTCAGTCAAATTGACCTCCAAATTTCCCCACTTACCAACCGTATTTTTGATAGGCATGTCATTGGGAGCAGAGCTTTTTTTCCCTGCCAAACTTAAATTACGTGTTTTTTTGTTTTTGTGTGCTTCTTGCTGTCCCTAAGATCCAGCATGGGCAATATCATATAACAATACATGTGCTGCAAAACACGTAGGCTCTTCTCCACGATGAGACCTTGCAATCAAGAACCATGTTTGTGGTGTATTCGTCCCTGAACTTCTGTTGAATTGTTGCCAAAGTGCGAAACAAAGTTCAGTTTACTCACATAAAATCCCTGACTTAAATCCTTGAAAGTCTTCCTCGATCAACTTAGCACGACAGTGACATTCATGACGACTCAACATGGGCACGTCAACGATATCAATGTACATGTACAGGGTAAATGTAGAATGCATGAACGTACACAATCACGTTGCGAATGAAGTGCAACCGTGCCTATTCCTCCCAGCTTATCGTTGTGTTAATTGGTTCAACCTAGCTGGTTTCTGATGCTACTCACGCACCTTGTGCCCACAAACTGCGGAATGCCAGCGACACATTTCGGATGCGCGCATTACGAGGCTGGCTCCAGGCACATACATGTAGCTGTATACACAACTATACGTTTTGTACTTGGAAATTGTAAAAATCTTAGCCTGGATCGTACAGTCGTAAACGGACAAAACAAACTGCAAAAATTACAGCAAAATCGTACAAGTTGGCATTTATGAACGTATTGTCTCTTTGAAATCAAATTTCCTGGTGTACTGGGGAAAAATCCCAGCTTAAAGACACAAACTAATTAATGTGACTTTAACTATGAATATGAATGGTTTTTTGTGATCTATGACGTACATGTATATTCCAAAATGCATTTCTAAGCATGCTGGGAGCAAAGTGACTCATGTTTTTCATTGTAAGGGCTACCCAGTATAAACATGATTAAAGAAAACTATTTTCCTACATTTGAAGCAGAAATCAGAATATCTACGGTATGATCAAAAGGAACCAAAAAAAAAAAAGATGGGAAATTATACTTGCAAAACAAAAAGAAAAGTGCACATGTACAACTTCACTAATTCTATCATACACAGTCACAGGTCACATGCAGAGGGCAGACACTCCAGCTGGGATACATACATGTACACGTACTGTATGTGGACACAGTGTGGATGAAGTACATATAAATGTTGATATTTCATGGGTGAGAATGAACCAGTTCGGTATTCCAACATCAAAGTGCATCTAAGGTTATGGGAACAGCATGTATGCACGTGATGTCTGCCCCACCAGCGCAACCATATGTGACTCACACAAGTGCTTTGTTCCCAAATGACCTTGCCTTTTTGAAATACCAAACTAGATCCTTTGCAAAAATTTTTTAAACAGGACAAAAAACGTGCCACAGAGTATATTAAGCCTGGAGTTTTCAAGATTATGGATAATTCCAAGCAAAAATGTCCGAGGAGTTAGAGGTACACGTAAATGGTTAAATTTCGACCATAGGAGTTCATCTTTTAGAATCAAGGAAGCAAGCCAGGCAATGCATATGTGAACTCTTGGTGTCAAATTAAATGAATGCTCAAAAAGAAAACAAACTGCAAAAAATGCAGCAAAGGGAATAATTCAACAGTATAACTTATTTATGCACAACCTACTGAAAAAAGCATGCCATTAAAGTCTGGCACTGAAAAAAAAACTTTAAGGAAACATGAAAGTAACTTCGGACACTTGTAGATAATGCATGCATTTCTGTAGTGGTGGTGCTGAAGCTCCAGTATGCAGGTTTGATTGCATACAAGTATAAAAAACATCATTTGTCAAATGCAACATGACAATGAGGGGCGAGGCTCCAGACTAGCCTACCTGTAGTTCTTTGCCACGTATTTGGGAAAGAGGTTAAGGGTGTCCATTTGAAACTAGCCTGGCAATTTCTTTTAATCCATGTGCATTAAAATATGGAATAAAGTGTACTGTGTGTTTCCTTCATGTCCATGTTTTTGACCAGCAAAAATGGGGGAGGGAACACAACCATTACGCGAAAGGCACAACCCTATTTGCGTGTGATAAATCTGAGTCCTTAATCCCTTAGCTTAGATGTACAGTCTAGTATTTTTGAAAAATATCCACCCAACTAATGACACTAGATATCAATGAATTAAAGGCCAGTTCATACTTCAGGCGAATGCAAAAGTGAAGTGAATTTGACGTCGCGCCACCTTCGCAGCAAACTTTTGATGAGTTGAAATGTGTTCCACTTTTACAAATTCACAATACGAATATCTGACGTCACAAATTTGTATTTGCTTCCATTTTCGCGCGAAGTATGAACTAGCCTTTAAGCTAGTTACGGATAAAAGGAATATGATAACATAAAACATGCATGGAAAATGATGCATCCCAACTGGAGATGCCCTTTACTGGATACATGTATACATGTAAGTATTCTACGTACCTGTGGATATAAGTATTCTACTTACCTGTTGTATTTAGTTAACCTGATCACGAGAATGTAAGTCAAACTTACAGTTCTACTGATTTCTATTAATAGTAACTTCTAATGCTAAGGGTCAGGAAAGCAGGCAGGATGGCAGGGCAGCATTCGGACAAAACAAAAGAACAAAGGGAAGATCAAAATACAAACATAGGAGGCAATCCACTCCAAGAAACTGGACGGTAAACAATCAAAGGAACAACCAGTGCCCTACATGTACTTCTAGAGAGTGAATTATGGTCCGACGTAAAGTCTAACTGGTCGCAGTGCAGGAGGCTACTGTTTGTAATGGATCAGGACTGTGGCCTAAAGAGTTGAGCCATCACACCTGAATAGCTTTTACACATGAACCAGTATCACACTCAAATGGCTATAGCAGTTTACCTACTATAGTGATTTGTGTGAGAGTACAGTCTTTAGGCGACAAATTATGATCTACAGTATTAAATACAGTAGTGTCTTGCACCGAGACTAGCAGACATGCTGGAGATATTATTGTCTTAACTCATGTCATTATCTCCTCTCCCATCCCCTCCCCCCACTTCAAGGAAGATCTGACCCCTTGTGTACCACCATAAAATGCAAGGGCTCTTTACTGCAGAGTCATTTTTACAGTAACCTGACACAGAACAGTGCAGCGGCAACCAACAGCTGCCATCCAAGTATACTGTGCAGTTTAATATTTTGACAATAAAATTTGAACTGCATAACATCATGTTTGCAATACTGGGGAAGTTGCTCACTAAACTTGAGGTTGCTCATTTCTGATCTGAGGGCAGAAAGGCAAGAGCAAGTGTGCTGAAACTAAATGGTACAACTCCGGGTAAGAGTTTACCAAGAAATAATGCAGGCCACATATAAGCATGGATACTCCAATCTGTGGATCCAACACTACAAGAGTTAATGAGGATATCAGACAATTCAACGCTTTCACTTTCAGCAGCTAAAATCCTCTTGCCCATTACTCAGTCGGCATTATCTGTTCCAATGGAACTGCGCCTTGTTCAAATTTAACAGCAAAGCTCAAGTTCAATCCATTTTCATTGGTAAAAACAAAATCACGGTCCTATTTTGTCCACGTGCATCACAAATTCCTCATGCTTCAGTCATGAATGCCGAAGTACTTGGGGTTCTGGGTACCTTATCAATGAGAACATGGTCATGGACTACTTTGGAGAGAAACCTGGCTGCCTTCATAACAAACTTTTCCCCTTCCTCACCAGGATAGTGCTGTATGGTAATTTGAGATTGTACAAGGCAACAACATTCGACAGAGTCATCATTAAAAAAAATTAAAAAATTCCAACATCTAGCATTTCATTGACCTTTGCCTCCCTGGCACTCTCTGCTAGGAAACTGGGGGAACACTCAAACAAAGGGTGGGGATACCACAACTCCCTTCCCCCTCCCCATTTGTCCTTTTTTACAAAACTGTCTCATGAGTGCAAACATTGTTCACATTATATCTGAATGCGTAATAATAGTAAATTCCTGGAAAATTTTCAGGGAGAGGGGTATGTTATCACTGCAGCAGGGTATTAGGCAATTTCAGGTCATATCCTTTAAGTGAATCCAAATAAGTCTGGTAACAACAATGTCAGAATGCTTCCCTGGATTAGACATGATCCAACAATATCAAGAAAGCTGACTGACCCAATATGTGTATGTAAACACTGGGGTACCATTCCCCTGCTCTTTGCAGCACAATCCATCAGTGAATTTAAAATGAAGTGTTTGATACCAGATATTTAAGGGAGGAGACTCTTAGTTAGAATCCTTGCAAAGTGGACGATTTAAAGACAATTTTTCAGAGTACCAAGCTCCGCTATACGCATGTCACATCTCTTCCACTTCCTCCTCAACATGGTACATGTAATTAAAAAAACCCCAAATTCCACATATTTGGAAGTATTTCCAGCAAATCCTCGGAACGTTACAAGACTGGGCATTCTTAACTTTACAAACAATACATGAGAACGGCGCCACATTTCAAGGTACGTGGTTTCCATGTGTTTCTCACCTTCTCCTCCAATGCCTGAAGAACGGACATGGTTGACCAAGAGTGTCACAAGCCTCAGAAAAAGAAATCAGAGGTAATACTATGGGGGGAAACAATAACAAAAATAAAACAATTTCAAGTGCCACATGGAAAGAACACGACATACACTTTTTTAAAAATTCACAATTACAACTTTGTATGCAGGCCTAGTGGTATACATACAGGGACAGGAACATATCAAAAGCAATGTAAACAGTGCAGAGTGCTGCACGAGGTTTAGCACAGACAAGTCTAACCATGCTAGCCTTGCCTCCAGGAACAGACGTGAGGCTGGAGAAAAAAGGAGAGTAAAGAAGGGGTCATAGTCTTCCAGGTTGTCAGTCAGTTGGCAGCCCCAAACAACAGCATTATCAGTATTGGATAAAGGTTAGATGTTGGCCTTCACGGCCAAAACAAAACTGACAGACTGAACAAGAAAACAAATACAAATTACAATTACAACTTTCAGCAAAAGCACATGGGCAATCACAATCACAATCATGACAGTCAACACGGTTTACGGGTCTACTGTCTGAATGAAAAGGCTACATGTAGGTCTACATGGTCTAGGCTAGCTCAGCTGATCTGCAAAGGGTATTGGTCACTTTGCCCCGTTTCCCCTTGCCCCAACCCCACATAAGCCCTGCTGCCACTTTGCCCGATTTCCACTTCGCCACAGCCATGCTTGATTGTAAATAAGGTACCTTTTTTATACATGCAGGTGGCATGGAATGATACCAAGGTAACAACAGATTGGATAATAACATTGGACTAATAAAAGAAACAATAAAATTTCTCTTATAGTCTCTAACTTTCATCAAAGCTTCCCACGTAGTCTTTTGTGGATCCCCGTAGTCTTTTGTGGATCCCCATACGTCTTCTAAGTTAATCCTTTCGTTTACGACATTTCAAAATTCAGTATTTGAGTCATTCCTTCTGTGACTCTGTTTCCAAACAGATTTGACTTGTAAAGAAGACAGAAACCAATCAAATGTATGTCTCTCCTTTTTATTTTCCTTTTGTAACTGTACTCACTTTTAGTGTCTTAACATTTCATAAGCTTCATGAACTACGGAGAAATTTGACACAACAAAGACATTACCAGGCCGTAAGAGATCATCTGACTGGTGTCTGAGGTCTGACACCTGAGGCTGTCAGACAATATAAACTCAATATTAACAGTACTTATTAATATCAACCAAGAGTTACAGTAGCCCCACGAGTGTGGACTGGATACTCGTCTTGCGGGGATACAGCAAGGTGGGTATCTATGCCACTCTTGGGGCTGCTGTAACTCTTGGTTGATATTACTGTTAATACTGCATGTGTCAGACCACAGATACCAGTCAGACGATCTCTTACAACCTGGTAATGTCTTTGTTGTGTCTAATTACCCCTGAAATTTTGATAATGACATTTTGGTGAAATTTATACACATGCAGTGTGTGCAGTTACAACTCTTTTTAGCATATAAAAACTCCTTACAGTATGCAGCATTGCAGACTTTCACTGCATTTAACTGAAGTGACTGGTGGCCCACATTGCATAGGCAGACAGGCTTCACGCAGTGTTACACATGTCAGGATGAACATGAATAATTCTCGTAACATTTTCCTTGGCAAACTGCCTTAATTAGAACCTTCTGTTTGGCTGGGCAGAAAAATTGTCAATGTTGTAGCCTTTGCCTTGGACATTTGGAGGAGAAACATTTAAAAGTTTAACAAACTGACAAAAGATAGGCCTAATAATGTAATATAATGAAGATTACAATGGGGCTAGGCCTAAGTGAGGATAGGGCAAGGTGGCAATGAGGCAAACTGGCAAAATAGAAATGGGGCAATGTGGTTAGGGACAAAGCAGTCGGGGGCAAAGTGGACAAGGGGTAAAATGACTGTAAACTGGTAGACTAATCTAACATTAGCTCTGCAAACTGGAAAAAACTGCAGGCGTAAATGTCTGGCATGATGCTTGAAGTTGACTTATTTCTAATGACTGGTCTGCCATGTCTGCTGGTTGGCGTAAGTTTCAAACAAATAGCATATTTGGTCGGATAAGCAGAAAGTACCGATAAAACCGGACTCAGTTTACAAATTTGCGGCTCGTTAAGTACCGTTTCATTTTGCTTCTTCATCATCTGCACGTTGCTGACCATGCAGACATGCATAAAAAAGATAGGCCTAAACTTGCAGCCGGTTCAACGTGACATGACGTGACGGCTTGCCTTAGTTTGTGCATTTCTTTCATTAAAGAAGATCCCCAAAACTGCAACAAATACTACAATTTACTTCATAGTTTGAAGAAAACGTGTTTAAAGTCACACATACCTTCGGCAGAGGTAAGAAAATGCCTTAAAATTCCAGCAATTCCCCCCGAATTAATTCATCTCGGCAATGAGCTCCAACCTCACCTTTTTGTCAAAATGGCCGACAATCACCTCCTCACTGTATCTTTGACCTCCAAATCAATTCGCCAACTTTTACGAAAGATCTTTGAAGCCCAAATCTCATTTTTTGACGTCTTTATTCCTTGAAAATGTCTAAAATATGAAAAATGAAACCGTCCACCATTGCTATTGGCAAATTTTGGAAAATAAAACAAGGAAAAATAGGTCCGGTAACAACCGCTTCTCATACTGAGTAAAACGCCCCCAAACTCGTGGCATCAAAAACGCAAAAACGTCATCTCTGGGCGCCCTCAACAGGAACATTAGGCATTACACCCGTCCTCCACGTACCAAATAGTAGTTGTAAAAGCTCGCTCAGTTTAGGCACCCGCCTAAAAATTTCTATTGACAAACATGGGACGAAGGAGGAACTGCCCAAATTTTCGTCCCGCCCATCCCCGGCCCCGGGCCCCCACTGTCGGGCTTCGCGGGCCGATACCTATTTATTGAACAGGTTTCACGGACACGTTTTGTAAAGCAGCAGTTGTTAATAAAATAAAGCCAGGTCTCCGGCCCACGGGATTGAAAATAATGTGCCAACATCTCCCAATATGCCCTAAAAAACTTCCAAGTTTCCACCGTTGAAAATTAGGTTAGACCACGATATAGCTATAATGAGATAGTTACGTCATCTATCGATTCCATAACATGACTTTGCTGGGCCTTCATCACATTACCACGAAGGAAATCAGCCGCCGAGTTTTTCATGCCTGTTTCGATTAATCTGTGTTGTGAAAATGAAAACTTTTCACAATAAGTCTCACGTTTGTCACAAACCTTCTTTCTCAGTCATACATTTACATTTCAAAGGCGCGGCGAACAAGGATTTATAGTTCGAATCTCTCCGATGGTGAAATCTTTCGGGATGTACCTGTATTAATTTCGCACAATGCAAATATGTGGAAGAGGCTGGAAAGCTTCGGCTTTGTTAAAGTTTAACGAAGTCAAGTGAGAAAATGTTTTCTTTGGAAATCAAAGCAAGAACAAACAATGTGCAGCAAAATTGGGTGCGGGAAAGAAAAACCGTTACACGCACGATACTCATATACAAGACGCAGGAAAACGGTGTAAGATCCCTGTTGCTTTTCCATGGAGCTATGAAAAGGAGCTCCGCGGCTTTTCCAATTCCAGCATTCGGCAGATACTTTTGTGTTGAGCTTTTGTGTGATTGGTCAGCAAACTGTTCTTGTTGGACGCAGAAAATAAATCCCAAACTGGTCTCTCTTCCATTTCAAATTCGGTGAATTTAATTCTTCTCCATTTGTACATAAGAATTTGTTTTACAGGGAGCGTTTCACCAGTAAAAAAAGTGGGGTTTCTCACCTCCTTAATGTACATGTATAAACTCTAGTGTTGTTTGAATGCTTCAAACGAACATTTCAACTGTGGATGTTTAGTATTACGAATAAATTCTTTCTTTTTTCCTGAAAATCATCCAACCCTTGGCAACATCCAGTTCCTTGCAAACAAAACACTCCCACTGTTTGTTGGAACCAAAGGCCTCCAAGAATAAAAAAAAATGATACCAATAAAATCAAACCAACTAAAATTTTAAACTAAAACTTAACTAAAAACAAAAGAAAGGGGCCTCGGATGCAACACAAAACTTTCATATCTCAAAAACAATTTCATCATAAAGAATTTATAACTGAATTTCATTTAATATCCCTGCAGATCAGTACAAGAATATGGGGGAAAAATTGCTCCATCAGATGGACTGCAATTCAAAATTATGCCAGACACAATTAGAAATCTGAAAGAATCGTCACAAACATCTGAAGTACATGTACATTGTAATTCCAAGAAACCATTGTGTTGATTTTTCTTATCAAATTACAGAAACAGTGTTCATTTCCATTTACAAACTTGGACCCGTTGAGTTCCCCCTTTTCGAGTTGGAGGTTATATTAAAAAATAACTCACCCATCCAGCCAAAATATGGAGCTAGTTTGCCAAAGATTAAAAGTTAAACTTCTCAACCCTCAAACCTTCCAATGTGCAAGAAACTAACGCTATGTTTTTTTGTAACTTTAACTTTCCAGAAGCATCAAGCCCTCAGTCACAGTAACAGGCTATGCCTTCCTGTATTTTTAAACTTCTCCAAGACATCCTGGTGAGGCAATGAGGACAGGTGAGCTTGATGGTCGAGTAAAAATTTGGGCAAACCAGTCATGCAGGGCGGGCTTCATCAGGTAAAGTGGACAATTCCTTTGGTTAGGCAAGTTAGGACCGAGCTGTGGCAACACTTTCTCTCCCCATTTTCCTGGCCACACAAAACAGGTGGAATAATGTGTTTGGCCCCACTGCAGAACAAGTACACACATGTATACGTCCTCTCTGGTTAGTAAAGGGTATTCACGATTTAGAAACAGCTTCTTTTGCTCTGGTACCAAACCCCTCTCTTGTATACATGTATAATCCCCCAAAGTGGCTTTTATTTGCCCACATTACTGTGCTAAATAGCCCCCTCTGTAGTTCACGCTCTAAGTCCAGTCACGTGAAAGCCGAAGTGAAGTCTACTTGACACTGCTGGGACAGTATGAATTGAATGAATGATTTAGGCAAAAGTCTGTCAACCCTTCCCATGGACAGTTTGGGAGAGAGGCCACATGAGCAAACGTTGACTACTTACAGTGGATGGAATACCGTATCAGCCATGACAGCAATGATGGGAAAAATTACATCCGCAGCCTCACTTCGATTTCAATATGGTGATTCTAGAGAGAGGCTGCATTGACAAGCTTTGGCCACTCACAGTACAACCATTGGCAACCTTAACAACCATTACAGCAATGATGGGAAGGTGTCTTGGGAAGGTTTGCATGTCTAGCCTCTCTTTTATTCCAATCAAGTAATTTCACAGAGAGGCTACACCAGCAAGCTTCAACCACTTTAATGGAATCCTACGCTGTAAATACATGTACAAGTCATACCTTAGAAACCATGTGCCAACAATGGGAAGAAGTCTGTTTTCAAAGTGAAGCCTCTTTTTATTCCAACATGGTGGTAAAAAAACCACATGATCGTTAACAAATCAAGCAAGGGTACAAAAGCTTCACAACACTGCAAATATAAGCACTCATCAGAAAACAACCTGAACAAGTAAAGTAGGAATTTGCTTCCTTTGCAAGGTATTCTGGGTATGAAGGGGAACCATCATCAGTGCGCATAGTAAGACAGAAAATTACAGGTTGTTGAGGTCGTGTGAACTGCCGTTGCACACAACAGTGAGGCTGAAAAGTGTTCAGCGCGATGAAGGTGGGGCACAGTGGAAAATGTGCAAGGGCAATGTACTCTTTCGGCTCTTTCAAGAAGGACTTTCGGTAAGCTCTCGATTTTTTCTATCAGCGCCTACTTACGTGAATCACAACACAGAGGTCATTAATCCTGACAGTCCTAAATTCTCCAATTTAAGTTTTACATATTCCTAGAGGTCAGAGATATAAAGACCCATCACAGCCCCTGAGTAATGCCTGGATGACGTATCAGCATGTGTGCGTCACTGACATCACACAGTGCAAAGTCTACTCCAAACCACAAGCCCATTTTAATTCTGTTCTCGTCCTCAGGATATTTCATTTCAGCTATGGACCCTCCACGCTAAATTCCTAATTAAAAAAAAATACATTATGCTACGCGAGCAGCGGTATGTCAATCTCAAACAGATCAAAGGCGCCCTCGCTGTCGTCTAGGTTGAAGTAGTAGTCTTGTTCTCCAGGAGGCGGGGAGAGACGCAAGAACGGCACGTCACCTGCTGCAATGAAGGAAAGAGGAGTTGCATTATTTCACCCATGGCAAACAGCAAAGCCCATGCACTGTAACGGTCACTCAATCACAGAAACATAGTGCAGCTATTGCAGAATACTGAAGGGCTTTTCTACAATTGGAAATAGAGGCTCCATGCACTAAACGACAAGCAAGTTTTCTTTTGTCAAATCACCACCCGTCTTGAGTGACGCACTGAGTATTTGTTCGCTCGCGCCAGCTGGAGAGTATGCACAAGTGTCTGTAACATCTTATCTTGATGCAGCAAAGTTTGTCTTGAACCCTGTAGACCAACTGGCAACAGTGATTCAACTTCATATATTGATAAGAGGGAGCAGACTAATTTTCCTTCCCGCCTCAGTTTGGCTGCATCACTTTGAATGGCAGAAAACCAAGAAGGCTGCCCCATGACAGAGGTTTATAGACCTTTAACACGATCGCTTGGTTTACATGCGCGCTTTCTGACCGCACAGAGATAGGAGGCGAAGTGTACATGTTAACATGTTCCAAGTCTGTTGCTGTCTCGGTTTCTGTTTGTCACAGGTGAGAGGGCACTTTCAGTGAAGCAGATAGTGTGGGGCAAAGCCATGACTAAGTTAACCGTAACCTTCCCCAACCACACAGAATTAAACAGTAGTAAAGTGTTTAATTCTGTGGGGATAGGTCTGGTAGGCCCATAACAGCTGACTTTTGCATTGGGTTTGGCATACCTCATAAAAACAAAGTCCAACAGCCTCTGTGCACCAAGTCCCCTATGGGTGTTTAACTTTGTGTGAATGGGGACGGTTAGGGCCAGCAACCCTCAGGGGGTTAGGGTTAATGTGTGGGATTATGTGGTATAACCCCGTCAAAACAGTAACTGTAATGAATAAAAAAATTCATTTTAAAAACAAGAGATGTATCTGTGTATAACACTGACTAGAAGGACCCCCTCACCAGCAAAGAAGAGACAGAGTGGTGCCTGACCCAAATGCAATGACCACTAACTCCAACAGTAACGAATCGTTCGTGCTCATTGCTGCCCATGTCAAGTGTGCATCAACCTATGCCAATACACGGTGTGTCTTCACCTCAAAAACACTGCTGCTTTGTAAGAACACATGCATCTCTTGTTCTGGCACAGAGGGGTTAGGGTTGCTAGAACTGAATACAAAATCCATTTCACAAGCTGGATGGAAAATAGACTTACATTCTCCAGCTATGAGGTCGTCCAACAACTGGCTGTCCATGAAAGAATCTTCACCAGGCTGAAACAGCATATCAGTAGGGATGTCCTTCAAACTATCTACTGCAAAGGTTCAGAGAAAAATTCAAGGGAAAGGTTACTATCCAGGTATTTTAATCTCTCAAGCTTTCGGGTATCTGAGGAGTTTTTGCTTGGTCTTGGCTCTCTGCCTAACCAAAAAAAAAAGATTAAATAAACACCAACGACACATTCGACGATATACCTTTCACAATTTAGTGTATTCTCGTTCATCTGAAATTCTGAATCTTTTTTTCCCACAGAGCACAGTGTGTTGGGAAGTTGTGGTGCTCCAAAACTTTGACGAGAGTAAGCATAATTTGCTATTAGCAGAAAGTGAGTGGCTTGAAATGACTGTCGCTGCTTGTTGCCTTGTTGTTATTGCTCTATGAGTGATGGTGACTACAAATCCTTCTGAGCTCTGATTGGAGAAATTCTGTGGAATGTGCACTGATCACAGCCATGACCTACGCACAACGCTTTCCTTTAGCTACCTTGAATACAGCTTTTGAAGCAAGTAAATCTTCAATGTCGTATTTCATGGCCCTAAAACCGAATCAACTTGACAAGTGAACCACAAACCTGGGCTGGTTCCATTTGCATCCGTTTCCTTCTTGATGGCTACCGGTAACACCTCTGACGTTTTGGCTACCGGCTCTGCCTTGGCTTGGGCTAGCCTGGACTCCTCCTTAGGGAATGCGTCGGTAGGGACCAACCGACTCCCGACTGGTACCCCACCCCCACCTAGCACCGCTGGCTGCAGGTCGTGGGGAGGTACAGGCACAACCACTGGACTGTCGCTGGCCTCGTCTTTGTTGACTAGTGTGACAAAGATGGGACCTTTGTAGCTTTTGAGGTGAATCTGGTACCGTTTTTTGTTGTCTGGGCCCTGTAAGAAAAAAAACACACACTAACCAAAGTCTCGTCTTTGAGTGGAAGAGGTCTCAAGAATTGTCTTGGAACAAGCTCGGTGAGGCATCCTGTCTTTCACTGCCAGGTACTTACAGTTTCTGGGACAGGCACCTGTAGCTGTGTTCCTGATGGGGCTTGGGTTGCTAGTAACGTATCTCCTTTGAAACATCTACAAAGATCTTCATGAGTGACATACGCCAACGTACAGGAGACGTTAAGGAAATCAATCATCATATTCTCTCGCCTTGAGACACGTTACACCACACTGACTTAACCTTCTGGGCCCTGCTAGCATGCATTCTCAGTCCTTCAAAATCCTCCAGCTGCCTCCATGGAAAAATTGGATACAGCCTCAGTCCTCCAAACTTCTATGATATTTCTTGATATGTGTTCCTTGGAGGGGTGGCCACTGTCTCAATCATTCAAAATTCTACGCCAATTCCTGACATGATGTTGTGGCAGAGCAAATGGTATCCTGAAGCAGTACGGATTATATCACATACAATCTAGGCTTGAATTTACAAATGGAACAGCGTAAAAATCATAACGTTTACTCCAAGGCCCTGACGCAATACATGTCTCCCAATTAGCCATGCAATTCTGCCATAAGATTGGGTTCACTGGGTCAATTGGGATTGGGTAAATGTTTTCAACAATTGAGTTGTTTTTGACAGAAAGGATATCTACTGTTTTCTTGGTCGTCTGTGACGTTCCTTATGCTTTGCTGTATTCTGCTCCTTAGTTCGTCTAACTCTGCCTCGATGTCTTCCATCTCTCGCAGTTCTTCCTTCAGCACTTCCAGACGGTCTGACATCTCGGTCGTGTTGCAGCCCGGTCCTGCCCCCCTAGGGAGAGAGGATCAGATTGGGAGATCATCAAGCAGGCACTCTTGCTACTTTTCCCTGATGGACTGTGATTATCAAAAATGTTTGGCCCACTAGACTCAAAATGAAATGGAACCGGCCATTATGGGTGGCGTCTTGGAATAATGGGTACCCACCACAACCCTTGTACATCACCTGAACAGAAAGTTGAACAGGTCAATTTTCTGTGACAAATTGCCATTTCTCAGGGAAGGAGCATCATTTACCTTTGGAATGTAAAATTTATCATGATGATGGTTTTCCTAATTCTCCATTCCTGGCCACGTTTTCTGGCGACCTTCCTGGAGCATCCCAAATTATCAACGGCACAACAGACTAGCAACTAATTCTTTGCACATCGTGTATCTTTTGAGGGGCGTCAAGTCTCACACAAATAGTGGCGAGGTTGTGCACATACCTTTCTCAATCCTGATGAACTCTGCCGACCCCCAGGTAGATTTCAAAGGATCTAAAAGGGTTAGGGTTGAAACTTTAGACAGTGTGTCCAAGTTTATACTCACTTCCATTGTATGCTGTTTTTGGACTTCTTCTCAATGAGACCGATTCCTTCCAAGACATTTGTGATATCATATATTCTTCTTTTTTGTCGTACTGCTAATGTGTCAGCTGCCTGTAATCAAACAATTTTGCAACTGTCCCATTAATATGATCAGATGATAGCACAGTTTGAGCAAAGAAAGAAACGAGGCTGCTTTGTAAAGAGGTTTGCAGAATACACGAAAACTGTTGAACCTAAACAAAAGTTCAAACACTGCTTCCATGTGTAGTCTCAAAAACGATAAGTAAAACTTGAAGGGTAAAACGTTACGATGGAGTAGCTCTAGAAGCTTGTTTCAGACACGGCCTAAGCCAACTGGTGGTACTGAGCATCGACACTTAGCACCCAATTTCCTTGAAACTTTCATTTAAAAGTTTAAGATCATGAGGGGGAGTGGGTTTGTGTAGCGATTCTTTCCTCGCTTTGCACCAATGAGGCCCGGGTTCGAGTCCCGGCTTGGCCCAGGCTTTGTGTGCATTTGGTTTCCATTCAATACTCGCTCTCGCAAGTTTTCTCTGGGTACTCCGGTTTCCTCCTACGTCTAAAACTGGACCTTCTTCTTAAGTCCGTAACATGATGTTGATTAATAAAAGGTTATGAATAAACATATAGTTAAGGGCGCCAATTGCCTGAGTGGCTGAAAGTGCCATTAAAACAACAACAACAACAACTTAAGATCATGCTGCTAAATTAGCAAACCATTTGATGATGTCATGGTCCAAGTCACTGCCTTCACTGACATGACTGGGAAAGAGTTCCATACATGGATGATGCTTGACATCCTGTGCACAAACCCTATGACATTGGAGATCCCAACAATGATGGTATGGTTTACTAACATGTGGGGAAAAAAGAGAAATTATCCCTTCAAATCAGAAACGCTCTTGGTGCCGGCTACACAACTCAATGTGGTCATAGCTAGCTACTGACCGTTGCACTACTCAGGTAACAGTTCTCGGCATATACATGCTTTCTTGCGAATGGTCAGCTAGCTCAGCCGGGGCATCGTGACGTCGTCACCAGGTGCATGTACATTAGCGTACAGTTTGAACAGCTGAATAAAAAAGATGGCAACTTGGAGCTCAACGAAAAGAGCGTTTCTGGTTTGAAGGGGAAATTTCTCTTTTCTTCCCACATGTCAGTAAACCTTACCATCATTATTGGAATCTCTGATTCTCACTTAATCCTAGGCTGGATGCATTAGACAGTTCAAGGACCATTTTGGAAGTGAATTCAGAAGATTTTTTTTCAGGTACGGAGGCTAATAAAGTTTTCAAATATTTTTGTCTTTTTTATTTTTGAAGTGATCTTGGATGTGATAAACATTTTTATATAACTTTGGATTCCATCAGACTCTGCAAAACAACAAAAAATAGATTTGATGCGGGAATGTTTTGAGACTTTTTGTACACTTGTAATGCAGAGCAAACTGTGATTATTTAGTACACAAAAGTAAGTGTGGATTGTGAACTGAGAGGCTCAAACTTACTGGTTTTGTAAAACCTTTGTTCTCATTCTTGCCTTATTTCAATGAATTAAATGCTGGCTTCACTTGAAATTTCAGAAATTTTGAAATTGGAAATTAAACAGCAGATCTACGCCAGGCAAAAAAAAGGACAAATTTTAATCACAATTTCCTATTAAGAAAATGAGTTTCAAAATAAACAGCACCCTCACTCATTTATACATGTTCCTAATTCAGGGTACGACAGCAAATGAGCTATTTAGAGTGAAAAGAATTAATGGAAGCAAAGGTATAATGGAAGAGCCTTGGACTCAACTACCACCAAACCATGTCCAAATGTTAAAAAAAGCACTTTGTAGACTTGGTAGAGTCCACTCCAAGTTACTCGGACTATGCTGTACATGGTCATTTCTAGTATAAAATTCTAGGCTAGGCTATACATGGAGGAAGGACACAGAAGGAGTTGTAACTCAGGCACTTCAAAGCGTCCAACGATGGTCGCCGCCGAGTCTGACGAATAATAGAAAACATTCCAAAAATGCCTTATTGCTGCCTGCATCTTAGCTGGACAAGTGGGGCCAATAATATCCTAGCAATGCTTGTATTTTTTTGCTTGCAATTAAATACAAACTATCGATGTGACCAGGAAATAGAGAGAGAAAAATTCCTGATATTAGACCTACTTTTGCCATCATAAATAAACTTTTTAAATTTTGAAACACTGTTTCATTATCCATGCAAAGTTTGTAATTCTAGTTTCCTCCGTCCAATACATCACTGTTCAAAGACTTGGTACGAATTTGGCTAAGACTGGCCATCAAAATCTTCACTACTTCTGGAAAGCTCAGTTCATTGGGAACAAAATGCGCTATTTCATCACAGGGAGTGATCGTGAAATCTCATGAAATACGCCTTTGTACAAATGCCATAATAAAAAATATTCAAACAAAACACAAAGTCTTACAAACAGCTTGGCTATTTATTCCAAAAAGAAGTCCAAAGGAAAGCGTTTGATAAGGGCAACAACTGCACATGAACACCTCGGGTACACAGCCTAATAAAAGCAACCAAGCAAGCACTAAATTTGATGTTGTTGTCAGATCGGTTCAAGCACCAATGATGGCATGAATATTCAACTTCCTATACTGCAGTGCAAAACGTTTTAGGGATGCAGATTACCAACGAAAAATTGTGGCGATGATCAGAGGGTACAAAGACTGAAAGAGGGCTTATGGTTGCAAAACAGGTGGTGAGTAGCAGGCATGCGCTGCGCTCTGGCTATGGACATACCGGGCATGCCAGAAAGTGGTAATCGGCCAGATGTTATAGCCCGGGGTAGTTCAAACTCCTTCTGTGTCCTTCCTCCATGGGCTTTACCAGTATATGAAATATGGAACTGTTTCTCATGACCAAAGTACTTAACTGAGTAGAAAAATTGCCATGAAATTGTTATTTAGGATGGAAGTGAAGCCATTCAACTGAACAAAACCTTGACTTGATCTGCAATTTGATTTTAAAATGTGCTAGACAAAGGGGACAGCAACGAACCCGGAATTTACGGTTCACCTGTTGTAAACCGCGCGAGCGTGTACGTGCATGTAGTGTACGTGTGATCGCATGCAGGCCTATCCCGAGCAAACACAATGACATCCCGCATTCCAATACACAGACAACAGCTGCATACAACATGCAAGCAAACCAGCAACCCAACCAACAACGAAAACATCCCTAATCTTATCTCCACTCTCGCTCAAACTCCCCTCACATACCACTTTCAGATCAAGAACCCCATCTTTAGCCTCCTGTAAGAGATTGACGAATTTCGTGGTGAGTAAGCCGAGGCTTTTTTCGTGCCTATTCGCAGGTGTTCCAGGGCTCAACTCCGCTGCCATGCTGTTTCATTGGATTTGTTGTGGCCGTTATTCTCACAGCTGGTACCCTGCTTCGATTGCAATCATATTATGGTGTGTACAAAACGCATGTGGTCACCGGTTCACTTTCGAAGTTCGAGGTACCAAAAGAGGGCGCTACATACAACCAGGTGTTTTAAAAAACTTGCCCGCGCCACTGTCTTGAACTTGAAGGCAAGCATGCTTTTAGTGCCCGCAAGGCTGTCAACCCCATTACTAATAGCTATTTTAGTGATGTGCCGACACATTGGAGATCAGAGATTATCATAACTCCTTGTTCTTCCCTGTCATGTTCAGTTGTTGGTTGATGAATACTGCATTTATTGAAAAAAAAAGAAAAAGGATTTGCTTATTGTCCGAAAGGCTAAAAATGAACAAGTCTGAGTACCGTTCATTTGGAATTCCGTTAGAATTTCATGAATAAATGTTAATTAATGAAGTTAGGCATAGTGGTAGAAGATAATGAAATGAACTATTTTAGAGAAGCATGTACATGTAATTATTTTATTTACCATGAATCCTACCTCTGCCAATGAAAAACACGCATCTCAAATTGAACTTTATTTGCAAGATACTTTGGGCGGCCGGAATATAATTACACCAATCTGGTACAATTAATCAAGATATCGCCAGATAAGGCTTAATAACTGAAAAGTAAACAAAATTTAAAGAAATGTCTCGGTGTGTCTCAACAATTATTCCACAATAAGCGAAGAACGGTAAGTGGCCGCTGGCGCTCTCGTCCAAAAACGATGTCCGAAAATCAAGTACGTCTCTGGATTCAGTGACTTACCAAATTCCCTTAATCTCTGAAACAATCTGGCCTCTGTATGCTCTTAACTTCGTGATGTTGCCATTTGTTATTAAATCGACCAGGCCTTATCAGTCCTACCTAGCAAGCCGTCTCAGAGTTACTTCGCACGATCAGAGCCGAAGGGAAAGTGGCATAGATCTAAGACTTGCCACTGTTGTATGTGCTGCGCAATTATCTATGAATTCTCAGTAACAAATCTTACCGTGACCTAGTGGCTGCTCAGTCATTTGGAGGTATTTTCCCAATGTTCCATGAAACATTCAAGCAAATAAACCGTGACAAATCAAATCACGTTTCCTGTCAACTGTTGCTGATTGCATTGGTTTTAAAATCATTTTTAGTATGCTTTACAAAGGACGCCACCGTCTGCTCTTATTATGGAGGCCCTCTTTTCTTAGCACGCTAATCGGAATACATGTTCCTCTTCTTGCCCAAACTGGTGGAACTGATTCCTTGAAAACCATCACTGTGCAGGAGCCTTGCACTTCTGTAAACACTTTCAAGGTGCATCAAGAACTTTTAAGTAATATTTCTGCAGCTCTACCTTCCTCAACCCCCCCCCCATATTTTATGAAACCACTAGAAGACTTTGATGGAACTGGGAGGGTAAGAAACTAAACATGCGGGATGAACAAGCAATTATAAAACCTGGCAGTAATGATTGCTTTATTCATACAAGTTATTTATTCACAGCAACAACTGATGCTGTACAAATGCAGGATGCGAGTTTAACAATTTTGCGCAAAATTAAAACTGCACATACAATATAAATACACAATACAGAGCCTGTTGGAAAGGTTTTAATCAAGTTATTCACACCTTAAAAGCTGGACGGATTTATTTTGCTCTGCACAATACATAGAGCATGGAAGTTGACTTCAAAGCAGAAGTTCTTCATTTGTTCCACTTTGCTAGTATATCTTATAACTCTCACGTTTATTTACAGAATAAAGCGCCCACCACAGATCTGAAGGGCTAACTTATTGATCTGCTTCATCCTGATGAATATAAATCGATGAGATTTGTTCAAAAATATCCCTTTCATTAAAGCACTTTAAATATGAACTGTAACAGGTAAACTTCAGGTTTTATAAGTTTGTGGAGGTAGGTTGATCTCTAAAAATATCTTAACATAGCCTCCCATCTCACACAAAAAATTACTCTTGATTCCAGCAAATTTTACTAAGACTTTATTCATTAATAAGAATTTAGTTATTAATCCAAAATTTTCTCCCACACCTGAAGAACATTTTTATTTCTTTCCAAGCGGTTTTACATTTTTTTGGAAAGATCATCAAAATCTTAATCGAAGCTTATTGCTTTGTTTCATTTTCAATTATAGGACGAACCACTTTTTGCTCAGTATTAACATGGCTTTTGACATTTCTTAGCATATACAATACAGAGTGAAAAAAAGACAAATGACGTGACTTCTCACATACTATTGTTTCCAAGAAGGCACGGAATAGGGCAGTTTTCTTTTCAAACCTAGGTCATACCATCAGCGTACGTGATTTTTGATCAAACTTTCTGAAAGTCAGTTTTGGGCTGTTTTTTAGTGGATTGATTTAATGGAACGAGGAACTGTTTGGTGAGTGAAATATACCTTTCCCGCCTCCAAACTATCAGTGCTAAAGTATTGTTTATTAACGTTTTTAAAAATAGTTTCCAGTCTTTCCTCACCCAAATCCTATTCACTTTGTTCTCAAAGAAAATCACAGGTTTCGATGGGTGTGCCTAATCCTTGAACTGACGTCAAGGACATCACCTGAAGTTTTCCTCCCTGACGATGGACTGTCCCGGGATGAAGTACTTCTGGGCTGACTTCAGTGTCAGGAGGATGGGTTGGTGGAGCTGTTCGTAGGCATCGATGGGGCTAGGAAACGGGTTCATATACAGGGTCTTCATGGGAAGGTCCACCTTGGTGGTGAAGTTGTACAGGCCATCGACGTCGAATCGTCGGGCTGAGGCAATGGGCGGAAGATGCAGATCTGAAAAATGAAGGAAAATGCTTCAAACCGCCTCATCGAGGCCCAACAAGCAGAAAAATACAGCAGAGAAAGTCATAAGAAAGACGCACGTGTGAGATTTTAGCTGGCAATTTGTTTTTGTGAAGCAATTTTTTTTGGCTCCAAGGTCCACCCTAAACAGTGTTATAGTCAAGATCATCACAAGACCTCGCATAAGACCAGTCACAAGTAAACAGGGTTAGAAATGACAAATGCTTTGTTGCAGTTCAGTTGAATAAATGTTAAGTCTTATGCTGGTCTAGTGTTGATATTGTGGGGTCTTGTAATGGTCTTAAAAGTCTTAACTACAACACTACCTGGAACCAACAATAACAGAAGAAACATTACAATGGAAAACTTTTTCATCATTGGGGATCTATAATCGCTTGCAGTTTGATACCACCATTTGGAAGAAAACTTGCAGAGAAAAAAAATTCAGCATTTTTCTCTTGTTGTGAGAGCACCAGCTTTTGCAGCTATCATGGCCAACCTGGTCTCAGAACTTACCAGCTTCATAGGTTGTCTCTCTGTGCGGTCTGCAGTGACTGGTGTGAGTTTCGCCTAGACGCACCAGGCTTGGTTTACTGTAGGACAAAGAAAAAAATACAAGGAGGACCTGATCGTTAGTAATGATACTAATTAAGTTAACGAGCTGATCAGAAGGACTGGTTTGTCTTTGGAGCAAATGTGGACGTGACTTTGCAGGCAAACGTGAAATATTCTTGTTGCAAATTCAAACTATACTTTAACATATTCCAACTTTAACAAATTGTTTCCTGGATTTTCTTTTGACATCACACCCTGTGGCTGAAGATTGTTATATTCGGAAGAGAGCGTCATTTTGACCAGTAATGAAAAATCAGCTGTTTGCAAAAAGATAAACAAGTCAGTTTGTAGGTGGAATTTCACATGCCCGCAAGGGCTGGCAGTGAAAATTCCTCACAATTATGTCACTGTCAGAAACAGAAGAGGTGATTACAGATGGGAAAATCTGACACACTAAACAGCCAAATACAGAACGTTCTTATTTGACAAACCTACGATAAACACTCTATGACAGACTACATTACATATTTGAAGCCAAACCTGGGAAAAACGAATATTAATGTCAATCTCCAACTGCACACGACATTCGTAAACAGAACTCATTTTTTTTTTTTTTAAATCAGCACAAAAAACTGCCTTTACCTTTTCCTGATTCTAGGAGGGAAGCATGGCCAAATGAAAATGGGTATAAATAAAATGGAAAGAAATTAATGAAAATCTTGATGGCTGTAAAGGTTGCCATTAGTACACTCTGCAAGTATGTATACTGTAGTGGAAAAATAGTTTGCTTCCAGCTACATGAATGCAACAAAACCATACATATCGTTTCTCCTATTCTTTCTTGATGTTTTCAACTTAGGAATACGGGCGATTCACAATAGTGCGCCAACAAGAGTTTCCAATGCATTGGCCAATCATAACCCCCGAAATTTGTCGACCCTTTCCAAATGCGCATTGGGTCGACAAATGTTGCGCATTGTGATTGGCCAACGCGTTGCAAACTCTTGGTGGTGCACTATTGTGAAACGGCCATATTGCTCCCTGTCGTTAAGTTTTCAATAACTTGGTGAAATGGTTTCAGTTTACCTCTCTGGTGTTCGCTTTTTCTTCTTCATCCTTTGCAGCCAACAAATTAGCCAAAAAAAAAAAATTAATCACTTCAGTGATGAGTAAAATCTTGTTTAAATTGTTACTGCACTCATCCACAAAACGACAAAGTTACAAAGCTAACTTAGCAGAGTCCCTTTTGCTGATAAATATAACAGCTTCACTCTTTGTAGACAATTACTTCCTGCAACAATAGTTTCAGAGGTTCAGTTTCCTTTCAAACAATGTAGACATGTTATCTTTAGGGTGCTAGAATAAATTAGCTGATTTCAGTCAGAAACGTGAACAGGTGAATAAATCGAGAGCGTGTATTGGCAATTGGAATAACAATTATAATAGCTCTTGAAATGATTGATTCTGAAAACCAGTGAGACACTAGCGTCAAAACAAATATCTACCTCTGCAGTTCGTCCCAAAGTTCGCTAAAGTTGCAATGAAAGCAAGAAAAGGAGGACATATAAATCCTACGAAATCAATACCAGTTAAATGACACCATTTTTAAGGTTGTACTTTGTACTGAAGACATAACTGGAATATGCTTGGCTGTGAGAAGATAATTTGTTGAATCAAACCTTACTGAATATCAAACTTTGTGGAAAATTTACGTTTATTGTAACTTGAAAAAGAGAAATAATAAAGTAATTTAATGTAAGTTTTGATAAGAACACACAAAAGTGAACTTAAACTTTGACCATGAAGATCTTTCAAACATGATATACCTTGGTGTCTTGTGTTCCCCTGAAAGGCTTTAGGATAGAAAATGGCAAAATATGAATATGAGTTATAACACGGTTTATGTTATTTTCTGTGAAGCTGTATATGCATTGAATATGACAACTCTGAACGACACAAAAGCACATTAGTAACTCCAAGTTTTCAGAGTTGAGGTTAGATGATAGTGTCAGGCAAAAACAGCTGAAGTACAGGTAGACTTGAAGTCCATGGAGTCCAGAATTTATAAAAGGTTCCTAGGGTGCCAGTCTTGGTTGGCCCTGGGCTTTGCTTCCAAGGCAGATATGATGGTGGATCCTCGGATAAGCAAGTCTTTTATGTTGTAATAACGGTCTTGGACGTACCCCAAGAACTGTCCAGAATCAATCAGTCTAAATGTGCGCCGTCTAAGAAGGTGCTTGACAAGTCTTAGACTTACAGTTCTGTGCTCTATGATTTAACGCCTATTATGGCTATTACTACCTTGGATACTTAAAACCAGGACTCAAATATGCAAATTGGCACAAGTGAGTTAATATTTACAATGATTCATCTAGACAGATCAGTGCAAGTCAAATACAACACACCAATTTATGGCGGCCAAAAGATGCCATTCTTGCTCAAACAGTTCCAGATAAGTTACTTCTTACCACTGAATATGTACAGCAAAATGTGTTATCGCAATTAGATTTTGAATTCCAAATCACTAGGGTCGGGAGAGGTACACCCAAGTGGTGCAGTACAGTGGAACAGTCCAGAAGAGGGTCTAGTTGTGATTGATTTCTATTTGAAACTGTAGGTGACATCCACAGTTTGCAGGCTAGAAAACCATGTGCAATGCTGACAGGTGTATTCTCTGAGTCTGCTGGACATAAACCGGCTTCACAGAGGTCTTTGGTTTTGAGGTAAAGCAGTTTGGAGCACAGTTAATGAAAGAGAATTATAACAGTGCCTTGGAAAGCTGAACACTAGTTGAAAAAGTTGAAGAATACCTTATCTTGGAGTCCAGGAAAAAGCTGGAGACATGCCGGAGAGAGATGAAAATTTTATACGCAATAAATATTAGTTTCTGAAGAGAGAGTTTTTTGACAATCTTCCTGATGTAATCACTCCTTTAAGTTGGCAACATTAACTACAGCGGGCCATCAATGTAATCGGTTAAAATATGGGCAACATTTAAATTTGTTTCAAGATTCGCAACACCATTTTGATTAAAAATGAGCTCTTTCAAACTGATCTCTGTTAGAAAAATAACCCAATCCTCCTCAGCTGCATCCTGTGAAAGATCATTCTTAAAAGTAATATTTTGAGATTTGCATGTTGACAACAGTAATGATCAATATCAGGTTAAGTTATACATAATGTAAAATGTCTTTGTTTTGAAGGTACAGTAGTTCTCAGAAGGCACTAGAGGTCAAAATGTTTTATAAAAACAATGTGAGAAAAAAAATGGACTGTTCACCTGCTGTCAAGATCTCCTTCATCTGAGCTTTCTCTGAACAGTTAACAAGAACTCAAATAATTAATCCTTGAATTACCGCACAGTTGAATGCTCTGCACAACATTAAAAGCCACAATGTGTGCATGTTTACACTTACAAGAATCACAGCAACACTGACTACTTGTCAATAAACAAAAAACTGCTCAGTAAAGTAACAAATTCCTCTCAGAATTAGTACACTACAAATGGCAAAACTGTGAACTGTGTGAGAAGCAAGTGGCCCAATACATGAAACTTGGCGTGAATGAACAGAGTGTGTAACAATCAAAACTGTGTAACAACCTCACAGACAAAAGCTTTAGCCTGGAACACCAGTTGTACACGGCAAACTATCAACAATAAGCAGAATTTATCAAAAAGAGGTTAGCTCATTCAAGTTTCCTCTGCCACTATTTTCCTACATGCTTTATCAGTTTCTATCACATTAGCAGCTTTGAACAACACATCACTCATCTCTGCAGTCGTGGACTGTGATTATGATTCTAAAACAAAAGCTAAATCTCCTCTCTAAGTCTGTCTAATTAATTGAGATAAGCTGGCACTTCGAAACACTATGGAGCTTTTAATTTACATGCATACCCAATGCTGGTTTAAGGCAGCAGTAACCTTCGGCTTTTATTTCGGCCAGAGCAAGTGTTTGCTTAAATGTTACGACGACCATCACAAAACAGGGCAGAAAGACTGAGAAATCTGTCTCGGAGGTGAGTGCAAGACTTGCTCCTAGGGTTGATTCCTTGATCAGTGATCACATATTTGCTATGTATGTCATGATCGTGAACGGACAGAAGGTTTATAACAGCAAACAGTAAATCACTTAATATGCAAACACTGAGGGCAAAAAGAGAGTGATATAACAATTCACACGGATGGAGACAGCACATCTGTGAAGACTCTGCAACCAAATCTGTAAGTTAAGGGGTGTCTCAAACTTCAAATTCTAACGGTTCCATTCAGTATGCTGTGCATTCCCATTCAGAAAGAAGCAAGGTTTTATAAGCATGTTCCCCAGTCGGGCTTTCCCAATTCAACGTATGCAGGAAATATTTCCAGTTTATGAATGCTTGGTATAACCTGTCTCTTTCTTACAAGTCCAGAAAGTGTTCCAAACCGGAACGGCTGGTAGTCCTGACAGAAAACTGAACGATGTAAGAGGTTTGAGACGTCCCTTTGGCAAAGGGTGGCAGCAAATGCATGTTAGTTGAGCACAAAAATCCTGGAAGTGGGTTGCTGAGATACCTTCCAACCAACGACTGCGCAGATCCACTGATGAGGGAAGCCAGGAATGAGACAAACCATGACATTTATAAACTCAAAAATTCACACTTGGTGAAATTCTGATGAACAGGGAATCTGTCTCTTGAAGATGGCTTCAAGGTGAAGAAACTCAATGCTCACCTTGGACTACTTAAGATAGAACAACTTTTGATGGAAGCAACTCCTGTCTCCCTCCACAGAGCAACACTTACTTCACCAAGTCGGGTGACACCAGAATGCCGAATCTCTCCTTATCCCTTAGCTCATATTTGTCCCTTTCTCTCATCATCTTTGATAAATCTGTTCACCTCAAGCAGTAATAGCTCTGTGTGCTTCTTACCCTCTGGTTCCTTGTCATTTGCTTGCTCTCGTGCTGCGGCTAGCGGTATCCTCTCTATGTACACACCCTCCTCCATCTACCAATTCACCCCTCCCCCTCCACATTCAATAACCTTTGACCCACCTTCTTATCTTAGGTAGTACCAGCACGGTGTTCCTCTTATCTTCTGGTTCCTCCTTATTTGCTTGCTCTCGTGCTGCGGCCAGCCGCATCCTCTCCATGTATTTCTCCAGTTCCATCTCCACGAAGTAGTTGATGGCCTCCATGGGCTGGGCGTTCTCCACGGTACTGAGGTCAGGGGGCATGTCAAAGGTGACTGCAGAAATATCAAGCAAAAGAAATTACGAAGTACAAACAGGAACCAACTTGTGACCCTTCATGTACATTTTAAAGCTTTGAAAGTTTTCCGTGAATGTTGCTGAACTACTGGTTGATAAAAATGAATGTTTTTGTCCTAAAGAAGCCTTCATCCAAAAATGTATTTAAAAATAGAAAATTATGAATTTTGAAAGTCACGGTGCGAAAGTCTCAAACAACGTGAATTTGTACTGCCCTCTTGTGGAATGTCACTAAAATTACAGAGACGATCAATAATAATTGGTTTGGGTTACAATGGTAATACCTGTTAATTGCTGTGACTGCAAGAAGCTCTCAGTTACTGGTGAGTCACTGTTGCCATGGGAGAACTCTGATCGAGTCTCGGACTTTGAGGAAGTTGGCTTGGAGCCATCCCCCTGATCAAGAAAATGTGATAATAAAAGATCCCAGACAATCAATAAGTGCATCAAACGAAGATCGCATCATATGTCAAAAAAGTAGTTTTGCCTATTAGTAGTATTCTGGATGAGTATTTCAAGTTCCAAACATATTGTAGCGTGTCCTGCTTATTGGGCTCTGACGCTGTCACAGCACAGTCAACCACAAATCACCGTTCCGGGCAAGAAACCTCTGTTTATTTTCCCGACGTCAACAAAACTTGTTTTTCGTACACAAGCTCTAGACACGAGGTGTCTAGGCGGGGACTGCGCAGGCGTGAGGCCGGAAAACCGCAGGCCGTTCGCACACCAGCGGGGGCAGCCAGCTAGCTCCATGCGGGTCCGAGCTGGCGCCCTTACCGGCCGGACCCACCGGCGCTACAATATGTTCACAGAAAGCAAAGTATATCCAATAAAAATCAATGTTCACATAAAATGAAGGACATGGCACATTGCATGCCATCAGGCTGTTGATATTATTCCGCTCACAGTACCTGATCCCCCTTGTTCTTCAGAATTCCCTTGGTCGGTGACTCAGACGGTGGAGTGACCTTGGTTGCTTGGCGACGCTGGATGTTGCCAGCCACTTTACCTTTCTTGAGCTGTTCGATTGTCTTGCGCAGGTGACTCTGGGGGGGGATGGTATGATGCCAATAAGGAGTGGTTAGAATTCTGGCTCAGTTTGTCGCCAATTTCAAGAAGGGACACTTTTCGCTATGCAGTGTGCAACTAAACTCTTGGGAAAATTACATTTTTAAGTTGGTCACTGTTTAAAAAGAGATATTGTAATGATAAGCAGCAAGACTTAGTTGATAAAACAATGATGCGTGATAGTATGCATCTTAACCCCTTCGCGCCGGGAAGCAGTGAGAGACGTAGTAAAAATTGAGATCCCTCAGCCCTCGAGCGAACATGGTGAAAGAAGGCAGACCCTGGCTCTTGTATATATGGTGATTGGCCTTTTGTGTGTTGCCAAGAAATGAAAAGACC